AGTCTTGTTGCTGAGTCTGAGTCTGTCTGTCCTCCGTCCGTCGGGGGTGAGTGTGCCCTTGGCACGGACGTCCTTGAGGACAGGCAGGAGGAGTTCCAGTGCTTGGCCGCTGCTTCACCTCATCTCGTGTCCGTACTGCTTACCCCTGAGGGAGACCCGGATGCACTTGACATCCCGACTCCGCGCTCTTACGCGGAGGCGATAGAGGGTCCCTACTCCTCTCAGTGGCAGGCAGCTATGGACGCAGAGATGGCTTCCTGGAAGTCCACAGGCACCTACGTTGACGCTGTTCCCCCTCCTGGGGCGAACATCGTCAGTGGCATGTGGATTTTCAGGGTGAAGCGACCGCCGGGTTCTCCGCCTGTCTTCAAGGCGCGTTACGTGGCTCGTGGCTTCAGTCAGCGGCAGGGAGTTGACTACTTTCAGACCTTCTCTCCCACCCCGAAGATGACCACTCTTCGGGTACTGCTGCACGTAGCTGCTCACCGTGACTACGAGCTACACTCTCTTGACTTCAGCACTGCTTTCTTGCAGGGCAGCCTGCACGAGGAGATCTGGCTGCGTCGCCCACCTGGCTTCACTGGGTCTTTTCCTCCTGGCACCCAGTGGAGCCTACGGCGGCCAGTCTACGGTCTCCGCCAGGCACCGCGTGAGTGGCACGACACACTGAGGACTACACTTGCGGCTCTTGGGTTTGCTCCCTCTACTGCCGACCCGTCGCTGTTTCTGCGCACCGACACTTCTTTGCCGCCGTTCTACATCCTCGTGTACGTCGACGACTTGGTCTTTGCCACAGCTGACACTGCAGGACTAGCCCACGTGAAGTCCGAGCTGCAGAAGAGACACACGTGCACTGACCTGGGTGAACTGCGCAGCTACCTTGGCTTGCAGATCACTCGGGACAGAGCACGCCGCACCATTACCCTGACTCAGTCACACATGGTGCAGCAGGTCCTTCAGCGCTTCGGCTTCACGTACTCCTCGCCTCAGGCCACTCCTCTGCCTACTCGCCACTCGCTCTCAGCTCTGCCTTCGGATGAGTCCGTAGAGTCGAGTGGCCCGTACCCAGAGCTTGTTGGCTGCCTCATGTACCTGATGACCTGCACACGACCTGACCTTGCATACCCTCTTAGCATTCTTGCACGCTATGTTGCTCCTGGGAGACACAGACCGGAGCACATGGCTGCAGCGAAGAGGGTGTTGCGCTACTTGTGCAGTACGTCGGGCATGGGGCTTGTGCTTGGAGGGCAGAGTCCAGTGGTCCTTACTGGGCACGCAGACGCTTCTTGGGCTGATGACCAGGCTACGCAGCGGTCGTCACAGGGTTACACCTTCAGCCTTGGTTCCGGCTCTGTTTCGTGGCGGGCTACTCGCTCGTCTTCTGTTCTCGGCTCCAGTTGTGAGGCTGAGATCTACGCAGGAGCCATGGCTGCACAGGAGCTTCGCTGGCTCACCTACCTGCTGACTGACCTCGGAGAGTTGCCTCGTTCTCCTCCAGTGCTGTACGTAGACAACAAGGCCATGCTGGCCTTGTGTCGGGAGCAGCGACTGGAGCACAGAACGAAGCACATTGCTCTCCGCTACTTTCTTGCTCGTGAGCTGCAGCAGCGTGGTCAGCTGCGTCTTGCGTACGTGGCCTCTGAGGCCAACACTGCTGATATCTTCACCAAGGCACTTGCGCCTTGTGACCATCAGCGCTTCTGTACTCAGCTGGGCCTTGTGCCTACCTTGCCTCACTTGCTCACCTCTTGACCTTGGTTGTACTGTTACATATATATATACCTGCTCTTGCTTGTCTAGCCTTTTTATATATATGTGTACTCCTGCTTGTGAACTGGCCTTGTGGCCTTGAACTTGTGCTCGGAATGTGTGGTGACTTTGTGATCCACCCTGAGCTTGCTTTGCTTTGCTTTGCTTGACTGGTCTTGTGACCCCTTGTTCTCCCCCACTTTGCCTATGGGGGTGTGTCAGAACATTATAGCTCATGCATATTGTGTAGGCTATAGTGGGGTACTCCATAAGGGGTACAACCCAATTAGGGTTAGTACTTGTACCCAATTCATTCATAGCTCATTCATTCCTCGTTTCTTCTCATGGGGATGGTTTTTCATATCCAATAATGACCAATAGAATTCTGGTTGTGTGAGTATATAGAAGAAACCACGCTCTAATTTCCTTGACCGGATGCCAAGACGCGGTGTCGTCGAATAAAACCCTTAAGCATGTATACATGCATGTTGCCATATAGCCACAGAGTAAAGAAGGAACCTTTGTAACGGATGTACTGTACTTGTAAGGCCAATGCAAAGTCTGTTATGATGGATTGGTTTCTTCAAAAGGCAGCCCTTGCTACAATTCTTATGCCAAACATGACAATCTCAAAGAAGAACGTCAAATGAGTCACAATAATGGCAATGGCAAAAAGAACCTGGCAAACGCCAGGGTTGATAACGCCAACCCGCATGTAGAGACGTTACGTCAAATGTTCGCAAAATCCGCATGGGAACGCTGGTAACTACCGTGATTGATATTGGCAGTTCCGTCCAAAACAAACGTGTAACTTTGCAAAACAATACCGCGAGCAAAGACTTCATCATCTCAAGCGGTTGATCCCAGCCACCAAGCTCATGTCATTCAGAATGGCAGACAACCAAATGTCCAATCCAAACCCAACGTTTAATCTCCACGTGTAGTTTCAGCAACTTCAACGTGGAAAATCGAATGAGTGATATACGATATCGTAATTGGTAGAGGGCATATTTACGCCATAAACAACTTCAAACGCCAATATTGCCCCCTTTTTTTTTTATTATTACCGGTAGCAATGGTGGTGTAAGCGCAACTGACCGATATCTCGGTATCAATAGTAATGCATGTCCTTTGCACATTCGCGATGCGACCCATTGGGTGGAAGAACTTCATAGTCCAATTGTTTTGGGTTTTATATAAAAACCAGGGATTTAAGAAATGATCTATTTCGCTCGAAAGGGTAACGCATAAAATAGAAATTAGCCCTGGCAAATGCCAAATTACTTTACTCTTTATTTTTTTTTCACAGCAACGAGATTTTGCCGTGTTGTCTTGCAAAGGCGTAATCTTATAAGGCCATAATTAAAATGCCATAATCTTTATAAGGCCATGACCTTAAAAGGCCATCACTGAGATTGCACTGAGCACTCCTATATGTATGAGTGCTTTCCAGCACTACCAGCAGCTGCAACGGCAGCACCAACACGAGCACCAGCAGCAACAGAAGTCATCCACAGAGTGCAGTACACCATCCACAGCAGCGCCACCAGTGGCGACCTCCTTAGCACCTGCAGTAGATCGCGCACCACACACCGCCAGCAACAGATCGCGAGGCACCAGCAGCAGATCGCGCAGCATCAGCAGCAGATTGCGCAGCATCAGCAGCAAATCGCGCAGCATCAGCAGCAACTCCTGCACCGTCAGCAGCAGCGCGCGCGGATTCAGCGGCAGCTCGCGCAGTGTCAGCAGCAGATCCCGCAGCGTCAGCAGCAGCTCGCGAATCGTCGACAGCAGATCTCGCAGCAGCGGCAAATCGCGAGCTGCATCAGCAAATCGCGAGCTGCAGCAGCAAATCGCGAGCTGCATCAGCAAATTGCGAGCTGCAGCAGCAAATCGCGGGCTGCAGCAGGAAATCGCGAGCAGCAGCAGCAAATCGCGAGCAGCAGCAGCAAATCGCGAGGAGCGGCATCAGATCCGAACACCAGCAGTAGATCTCGCAGCGCCACCAGCAGATCGCAGCAGCAAATCTCGCCGCATCAACAGATCTCGCAGCAACAGCAGCAAATCGGAAGCACCTGCAGCAAATCGCGAGCCGCAACAGCAGAAATCACAGCAACCGCATCGACCACGAACACCAGCACCAAATCTCACCGCAGGGACCGCAGATTGCGTGGTAACGGCAGCCGCTGACTACGCGACGACCTTATCGATTGTGCAGCCGCGGCGATCGCGCAACGGCAGCAGGTGGTAGGAGCCATTGCGACATTAATCGCACTAGCAGAAGCTGTCAAATGCTATATCCCGCAATTTCATCATTCTGCACCAGCAGCAGTAAACAACCTCGCCATGCACACTCTGAACGCACCACCGCAGCAACATCCGACGAAGATGGTTTCACTCGTAAAAAGCATAAGTGGTGATTTCGTCAAGTACGGCGGCGTAAGGAGCAGGATAACATAGAGGCGGCAATGGCGGGGAGGTTGATAGTTTCCATGTGTGTGCTTGTAGATTCAGATCTACGAATGAAATGGACTAGGTGGCAGGTCCGTGGACCTGCCACAAGATAAGGAGCACTTGACTCCTTACTGCATGCTCCTTTACAAGTCTTGTCACAATCTTTAAATTTTGAAATATAATTCAAAAATTTTCATGTGTACGCGCTGAGCAAGGACGCGAAGTAAGGAAAAGGAATTTTCCTTACAGCCTTGCTTGACAAGCATGTCAGAGCTGTTTCGAAGGGGACTAGTGAATACTGGCATACGGTAATGTTCAAGCTGGCTGTAAAAAAGGGGACTAATTAGTGGCAGATTCAAGTAGCGTGATAATACCGTATCAGCGCTGGTCCCCACCCATCCATACTACCCTAACCATTCCCTTCAGAGTTCACTCACAAACCCGATAGCACCACCAAAGCGACCCAAGCACACCACCTCCCAACGTCACAAATGCTCATCATCCACCTTCCGTATCATACCATACCATACCACCGCAGCCCTCTCTGGCTCGTAACTAGTCATCATTTTGATCGCACTTGAAGGACCTACATATGGAATGGAAATCTTACTCCCTCTCAAGTCACAAGTGCTTATCCTCCACCTCCCACACCATCCTCTGTGCGGCCCTCTTAAACCCCAAAATCGTACGACTCAGCGTACTCATGCGTGATCACAGCAGCTTACTCTCGCATGAATCACATCAGCTCCTTTCTCCCCCTCCCCCGTACCACACTCCATGGCCCCCCCTGCTCCTCACTAATCCTCCTCATCCATCACCCCCCCTTCCACATTCAGGCTGAACTCATACTCCTGATCACACCCTAAGTACGAATCGCACATGAAATAGAGCATCAGATCCTTCTTTCCCTCTCCACTACCGGCCTTCTCCCCTTCTCCTCCCGGAGCCGCAAACTCAAGCTTGACTTTTGCCTTTCGCTGCAGCGCCGTTCGCTTGATTGCCAACAGCTGATTGGTCTTCGGGTCCCCAACCACGAGCCACCAACCCTCGTCCTTAGGCTTGGGGAAGCGCGGCGCATCCACCGGGCCTAGCTCCTGCCCAGGCTCGATGTCCCTCTCGAGAGTAACCTGGGGCAAACGGTGGGATTCAGAAGGAAATGAGGCGGGGATGAGGTGGGAAAGAGATGGGATAAAGGTGGGGAAGAGGTGGGGAAGAGGTGGGGAAGAGGTGAAGAAGAGGCGACTAGAGGGGATCAGGAAGAACAAGGAGGCGAGCAAGGGCAGAGCCAAGCGGAGAGCCAACTGAGAATTTCCCTTTCCTCAAATTTCTTTTTCTCCATACCCCGTTCATCTCGCCTCTACTGCTGCCAACTCAACAGGCACCTACCTGCATCACCAGGTTCTCTCCAGCCGTGACATCCTGGCCGTTGATCAGCTCGTAGTTGAGATCAATGGAGGGGAATTGGTTGCACACGCGCGCCACGTCAGACAGCTGCTCCTCAGTCATGCCGAGCGCCGCCGCCCGCTCGTCGTCGTCCATATCCACGAGATCTGATACAGATTCGATCCCCTTGGCTGTGAACTTGGCAGCTAGCTCCTTGGTGAAGTGCGGCAGCTGCAGCAGCGGCGAATCCTTCTCCCATAGTCCCTGGGGTAAGGGGAGGGTGAGAGAGGGTGGGGTTGGAAAGGGAGGGGGAGGGGGGAGCAGGGGAGTGGGGAGGCCAACAGGGAGCACTTATTTCATGCTAGCTCCTTGGTGACATGCGGCAGCTGCAGCAGCGGCGAATCCTTCTCCCACAGACCCTGAGGATGGGTGAGAGAAGGAGGATTGGGTGGGGGGGCGGGGGGGGGGGGGGGGGGAGTTGGGGCGAGAGTGGGAAGTCTCACAGGAAAGATCCAACAACACAATACAGGGGAGTCGGGAGACATAGCCGGAAATGGAGAAGAGGAGAGCAACGATCACCGCAGGTTCACAACACACCTTTTACCTCGGACACCTTATTCAGACCCACAACACACCCACACCCTGAACCACTTGTGATGAACGATTTAATACTACTACGCTTCCCTACACGTGTTCTTGCCTAGTACCTCTTAGATTAGTCATCACTGAGCTTGCTGCTTTCTATCCGTTTCTCATTTTGAGAGGAAACCTTGTTCGATACGGAAAGAGCTCACTAATCAACATGCAACCACGCTCACCTGCGTCCCCACCATTCTGTCACCTGCGTGACCGTCTGGCTGAGATCCATGGCAGCAAGGGCAGGGGATAGTCAGCCAAGGTGGAGAGGGGAGAAGAGAACACACCTCTAGCAGCACTTGACAAGGCACAACCTTCGTTGCTCACGACACACCCGATTCGATTCCTCACCTGCGTGACCATCTGGCTGAGCTTCATGGCAGTGAGGGCAGGGGAGAGCTAGCCGGAGCTGGAGAGGAGAGGAGATGCGAGATGAGTGATATTCCGCAAAAGGATGGAAATTTGAAGGTCCAGGTTAAGTTAGGGGATCGTTTAAACGACCCCAATCATGGAAGATACGTTTCCTGCAGCACCTGGGTTGAAAGCGGCCAGGCAGAGGTTTGGGCTGAGATCACTCGAGTGGCCAACACACTTGAAGTCAGCACTAAACTTAAAAAGATGCGGGATGATGTGAAAGGTGTTATGGGAGATGAGGATGTCAGAGTGGTGAGGGAGAACAGGAAAGCTGCTAAGAGATGGCTGATGGATATTTATACCGATAAGAACATTAAGTATAGGGTGTACTAGGTTGACGATGTATCTCAGAGGTTCGAGCTCGTGAAGAAGGTTTTGGTCCACTAACATTCACAAGTCCATGGATCAGCCTAGTAGTGGCCAAAACTACATTCAAGAGCTCGAACCGCTGAGACATATCGTCAACCGAATACACCCTATACTTAATATTCTCAATAATATGGACATCTCTCAACAATTTTTTAGCAGCCTTCTTATTCTCCCTCACACTCTTACCTCTTCCTCCCTTAGTACATCTTTAGTACATCTTTTTAATTCAGTAACGACTTCAATGGTGTTGGCCACTCGAGTGATCCCATACCCAAACCTCTGCCTCGTCTCTTTCATCCCAGGTGCAGCAAGAACTCTTTTATGGTCAGCGTTGTCTAAAAGTTCTTTTGACTTAACCTTCACCTTAAGCTCTCCGTCCTTCTTGCGAAATCCCACTCCCTCTTGAGACGTCTCAAAAGTTCGACTTTTGAGACGTCTCAAAAATCCCACTCCCTCTTGAGACGTCTCAAAAGTTCGACTTCTGAGACGTCTCAAAAATCCCACTCCCTCTTGAGACGTCTCAAAAGTTCTTTTGACTTAACCTTCACCTTAAGCTCTCCGTCCTTCTTGCGAAATCCCACTCCCTCGCCTCCCCCCGCTCATCTTGCTGCTTTTGAGGCGCCTCAAAAGTACCACTCCCTCGCCTCCCCCCGCTCATCTTGCTGCTTTTGAGGCGCCTCAAAAGTACCACTCCCTCGCCTCCCCCCGCTCATCTTGCTGCTTTTGAGGCGCCTCAAAAGTACCACTCCCTCGCCTCCCCCCGCTCATCTTGCTGCTGCTGCTGCTCCGGCTGCTGCTGAACCTGCCTCTCCCTTATACCCCTTGATTTTCAATACCCATCTCACCTGCGTGACCATCTGGGAGAGCTCCATGGCAGCGAGGGCGGGGGAGAGCCAGCCGGAGCTGGACAGCACGTCCACCATGGCCTGCAGCAACCTGGAAGCTTCCATGAGCACCGCGCGCTGGTCCTGCGCCAGAGGGCCCGTCACAACGTGGCGGGCAAAGTGCGCCTGGTGGGGGGCGAGGGGGTGGAGAGAGGGCGGAGGGGAGGGTGGTTTGAGGGTTAGGGTAGACAGTGGGCGGGCAAGAGAAAAGGGACAAACAGAGAAAAGAGACCCACCTCCCACCACCCACCCACCACTCACCACAAACCGCCCACCGCCCACCGCCCACCGCCCACCGCCCACCCACCACCCAGCCACCCAGCCACCCACCCACCTCCCACCTCCCACCTCCCACCTCCCACCACCCACCTACCACCACCCACCACCCACCTCCCACCCACCCACCTCCCACCACCCACCACCCACCTCCCACCTCCCACCTCCCACCTACCACCACCCACCACCCACCCACCACTCACCACAAACCGCCCACCGCCCACCGCCCACCGCCCACCCACCACCCAGCCACCCAGCCACCCAGCCACCCAGCCACCTCCCACCTCCCACCTCCCACCTCCCACCTACCACCACCCACCACCCACCACCCACCTCCCACCTCCCACCCACCCACCTCCCACCTCCCACGTCCCACCACCCACCTCCCACCTCCCACCTCCCACCTACCACCACCCACCACCCACCTCCCACCTCCCACCCACCCACCACCCACCACCCACCTCCCACCTCCCACCTCCCACCACCCACCTCCCACCACCAACCTGCCACCTGCCACCTGCCACCTGCCACCTGCCACCTCCCACCCACCCACCTCCCACCTCCCACCTCCCACCTACCACCACCCACCACCCACCTCCCACCTCCCACCTCCCACCACCCACCTCCCACCTCCCACCTCCCACCTCCCACCACCAACCTCCCACCTCCCACCTGCCACCTGCCACCTGCCACCTGCCACCCACCTGCAGCAGCACGTTGGCCTTGAGATGTGGGTCCGACAAGTTGGGCTTCTCCACCCCGAAGCGCTGGTGATGCAGCATCTTGCGCACCTGCTCCTCCTCCCCCAGCCGCATGGGCAGCTCGCCATACTCGCTCGCGCTCGCCACCACCTCTATCAGCCCCTTCAGCCTTGTCTTGGGCGCCAGCGACCCCGAAAACGCCTCGATCGTGGTGTAGGAAATATAGTAATACGCAGCAATCATGCCAAGATTGAGAGGAGAGAGGTCCATATCGTCCTCTATCGCCACGCACTTGGATGCTTCGAGATCGGAGAGTGTCGTTTCGACGAGCTCGGAGAGGTGGTCGCTGAGGTGGCGGTGGGAGGTGCCCGTGAGGTTGTAGTAGTTGGGGTTCTGGGTGAGGCGGCGATAGAGGAAGGACCAGGTGAGGTAATCAACTGCGTCCTGCTTGTTCTCCACCGTTCGAACGACTACTTCAGCGTTGAGTGGGTCGTGGAGGTGCTGATCAAGATGGGATTCGACTGGGAGCGGCTCAAGCAGGAATTTCTTGTAATACTCCTTGCGCGCCGAGTGGCAGAAGATCACACACCGCCCCGCATCGTCCAGACCTGAAAAGGGAGGGGTGTGTTGTGCGTGGGGAAGAAGTGCGGAAAAGGGGTGCGGGAAACAGGAGAGGGGAAGGGGTAGGTGTGGGGAAAGGGTACAGGGAAGGGGAGGAGAGTGGGATTTGAGGAGGAACTTGCTGTAATACTCCTTGCGGGGCGAATGGCAGAAGATGACACAGCGACCCGCGTCGTCCAGACCTGCAGAAAGCGGGATTCGTGCATGAAGAAACATTTTTTAAGGCGTGTCCAAAAAAAGGAAGATAGGTGAGTGAGAGAGAGGGAAGAGAGGGGGGGGGGGGGGGGGGGGGGGGGGGGGTGGGGGAGGGGTGGTGCGGGGAGAGGGAGGGTGGAGGGGGGAGAGAGGTGGCGTTGATAGGAGTGTGATACTCACCAGGCCTTGAAGCTCGCCCTATCATCTGCAGCAAATCAGTCACAGGATAGTCCACCCTGCCGGCCTAGTGGCCCACCCAAGGCTTCATAGGTAGTGATTAATTTACCGAGTCATAGTTTATACTTGGGCTCTCACCAGGCCTGGAGGCTCGCCCCATCATCTGCAGGAGGTCAGTCACCGGGTAGTCCACCCTGCCGCCCCCGCTGCCGCCCGCGACAGCAGATGCGCCTCCCCCAGACCCGCCTCCCCCTCCCCTGGCGTCGTAGTATTGCGTGCCCATGATGACAACCAGGTTGGCTGGGAAGATGGACCAGCACAGGGAGCTCACAGCCACGCAGACCTGGAAGGACAAAGGGCACAGAGCAGGGGGCAGGAGGTGAGTGAGGCGTGAGGCACAGGACATGAGACCTGGCATCGTAGTACTGTGTGCCCATGATGACAACCAGGTTGGCGGGGAATATGGACCAGCACAGGGAGCTGACAGCCACGCAGACCTGCAGGGACAGGGCACAGAGCACAGGGCACAGAGCACAGGGCACAGAGCACAGGGCACAGAGGACAGGGCACAGAGCACAGGGCACAGGGCATAGGGCAGGGGGGAAGGGGCAGGGGGTGACTGAGAGTCATGGGGTATGAGTCAAGGCGTCGTAGTACTGTGTGCCCATGATGACCACCAGGTTGGCGGGGAATATTGACCAGCACAGGGAGCTGACAGTCACGCAGACCTGGGGGAGACGGGGCACAAAGAGCAAAGAGCAGGAGTCAGGGGGCATGGGGCACAGGGCAGGGAGCATGGGGCATGGGGCATGGGGCACAGGGCATGGGGCATGGGGCATGGGGCATGGGGCATGAGGCATGGGGCATGGGGCACAGGGCATGGGGCATGGGGCATGGGGCATGGGGCATGAGACAAGACGTCTTAGTAAGGCGGAAAATCCCATGAGACCCACCTGAATAAGAGAGAAAAGGAGGAAGAGAGAGGCACACCACACCCACCTGGATGGCCCCGGCTGTGAACAGCTGCCGCACCACCTCCTGCTCCACCGCACTCAACCCCTCGTGCAGATACGCCACTCCAAATGTCAGCCCGTGCCGCAGCCCCTCGTCCTTCACCCGCGCCAGAAACGGCGCCAAGTCCCCCTCCCCACAGTGGAGAAACGGGGAAGCAGCAGCTAAAGCCGCTGACGAGGTCGTCCCATCGGCGTTCCCAGCACCGGAGGAATCATCGGCGTTGGCGGCCGCGGCGAGAGTGGCCCCGGCGTCACCGGCGGCGAAAGCGCAGAGGTCGAGAGCGGTGAGGCGCGCGTGCTTGCGGGTGGGGACGAAGACGAGCGCGGGCTTGCTGGAGCGAGCGGTGTGGTTCATTATGGCCGTGTAGGCCGGCTTGGTCATGGCCTGGGGGGAGGGGGTGGTGGGGGGGAGAATAGGGAGAGAGGGATGACATGGGGAGGTGAGGTGGGTGAGTGGGGCAGAAGGGGGGGTTCACTGAGCAGCACCAAGCGCGTTGGGGCGAGCGGTGTGGTTTATTATGGCCGTGTAAGCCGGGGTGGTCATGGCCTGGGGCGACAAAGAGGGGGGAGCATAGGGAGAGAGAGAGATGATTCGCATGAGAAGGAGGTGAGGAGGAGGTGGGTGAGTGGGGAAGAAAAGGGGGTTTACTGAGCAGCACCAAGTGTGCTGGCAGCACCAGCACACTGACACACAGTGACACGCACCCCACACCCACTTTCCCCCAAACACCCACCTGCATGCGCGCATCGAAGTTGGAGACGTCAAACCCCTGGATGTGAATCTCCAGGGGCACGGGGCGCACAGCGGGGGAGAAGTTGAAGAGCCCGTGGGAGCTCGCCCCCACCCACTCGCCCAGATCCCTCGCATTCGCCAGCGACGCCGCCAGCGCCACAATGCGGATCCTGTGCCCCCCTGCCGCCTGCTGGCTGTTTGCTGTTGCCTGCTGGCTTTAGGCTGTTGGCACCCACCCATCCCCACCCATCCCCACCACAATCTCACCTGCATGCGAGCATCAAAGTTGGAGACGTCAAACCCCTGGATGTGAATCTCCAGGGGCACGGGGCGCACAGCGGGGGAGAAGTTGAAGAGCCCGTGGGAGCTCGCCCCCACCCACTCGCCCAGGTCCCTCGCATTCGCCAGCGACGCTGCCAGAGCCACAATGCGAATCCTGTGCCCCCCTGCCGCCTGCTGGCTGTTGGCCCCTCCGGAGGCGCCCAGCCCGCCCCCTGCCGCTGCTGCTGCGGCGGACTGAGAGCTAATGTAGCGCATTCGGGATGTTATGACTTCGAGGATAGAGCCGTTGTGGCCGCCGATCAAGTGTAGCTCGTCCACTATAAAGAGGTCCACCTGGGGTGGGTAGAATGAGGGGATACAGAGAAGAGACAAGGGGAAGAGGAGGAAGAGGTGGGTGGGAATGAGAGCTTATGTAGCGCATGCGGGAGGTGATGACCTCTAGGATGGAGCCGTTGTGGCCTCCGATGAGATGCAATTCGTCCACTATGAACAGGTCCACCTGTGGTGGGGCATTGGATAGAGGGAACGGGGAAGAGAACGGAGGTAGGAGGAGATCACATTGACTTCGAGCACAAAGCCGCATCACCTGCTGCATCACCTGCTCCACCTGCATGCGCCATACCCCTGTGGGTGGGCCCGGCCGACTTTCTGCCAGAAACCACTTCTTTGCTGCCAACAGACCGTAATGGAGTCAAAACCCAACATGCCACTCCCTCACCTGCTGCTGCTGCACTTCGTCTCTCGAGCAGACTGTACCTGCTGACCAAAGCAAATACGCTGGCAAGGCAGCCACAAGCCAAAGATTCCTTCCTCACCTGCTGCACGGCGCGCCTCTGCTTCCACCGTCGGCTCAGCTGGCCCCATCGCTCCGGAGTGCTCACAACAATGTTGCTCCTCTCCAGCAGCTTCAGATCCGTCCCACTCTAACCTGTCACCTTCAGACACATACCCATCACTTACCAGCAGCCTCATACATGCCACACCTGGATCACACCCACACACCCCACGCTTACCACCAGTTGGCCCCTCACCTGCTGCACGGCTCGCCTCTGCTTCCACCGCCGGCTCAGCTGGTCCCATCGCTCGGGCGTGCTCACAACAATATTGCTCCTCTCCAGCAGCCTCACATATGCCACACCTGAATCACACCCACACACCCCACACTAACGACAATTGGCCCCTCACCTGCTGCACGGCTCGCCTCTGCTTCCACCGCCGACTCAGCTGGCCCCATCGCTCCGGAGTGCTCACAACAATGTTGCTCCTCTCCAGCAGCTTCAGATCCGTACCGCGCTCCCCTGTCACTCCACACACACACACCCATCGCTTACCATGAAGTGAAATCTCACCTGCTGCACGGCCCTCCTCTGCTTCCATCGTCGGCTCAGCTGGTCCCACCGCTCCGGCGTGCTCACGACAATATTTCTCCTCTCCAGCAGCTTCAGATCCGTCCCACTCTCCCCCGTAAGCTCCCCCACCTTCACCTTCCCCCCTCCGCCCAGCATCTTCCCGAACCTCTCTCCCCACTCCTTCGCCCTCTCCTTCACAATCGCTTCCACTGGAGCCACATACACACACCGCCCGCCGTACGAAATTTCGTCCGGGCTGCCCGAGGTCCCGCCGGAGGCCTTCGCCTGCAGCATGCGGAGGATTGCGAACTCTGCACAGATTGTTTTTCCGCTGCCCGTCGGCGCGGCGAGAAGGACGTTGTCGTCGGTGTTGTACAGAACCGTAAACACCTGCGTCTGAATGGGGTTAAAGTGCGAAATGCCCCGCCGAACCGCCCCCGAACCAGCCCCGCCGGAAGGGTCGGTGGAAACCAGGCCTGCCGCTGCTTCTCCAGCGTACAGCGCCTCGAACGCCGCGTTCCGTAACGCGGTAACCGGCAGCGGTTGCAGGTCCAGCAGCTCGGTGGGCGGCGGAAATTTCTCGGGCAGAATAAGGTGGCGGAAGCTCACGGGCAGCACGGTCTGCGCGCCGATCCAACGGTCCGAAACGACCTTCACGAAGTACTGCGGCGGCAGCGGCTCAAAGATCGGAACAGAGAACGAGAGGTAGTGATCCTCTTGAGCATACTGCATCTTGAGGAGGAAAAGCTCGTGGTGTAAAATGGTGTCTCCATCGTGATCCTCCACGATGACCCAGACGAGGGAACTGGATAGTGAACGGGGGGAGGTGGGGATGCCATTCAGAAAGAAGAGGGGATAGAAGGGCAGAGAGGGGAAGTCGGGCGTTATGGTGAGATCGACGCGGAGCACCGAGCGGGTTATGGGGAGGGCCTGGGCTGCCAGCTCGAGACGAGGGAACTGGATAGTGAACGGGGGGAGGTGGGGATGCCATTCAGAAAGAAGAGGGGATAGAAGGGCAGAGAGGGGAAGTCGGGCGTTATGGTGAGATCGACGCGGAGCACCGAGCGGGTTATGGGGAGGGCCTGGGCTGCCAGCTCGAGACGAGGGAACTGGATAGTGAACGGGGGGAGGTGGGGATGCCATTCAGAAAGAAGAGGGGATAGAAGGGCAGAGAGGGGAAGTCGGGCGTTATGGTGAGATCCACGCGCAGCACTGAGCGAGTGATGGGAGGACTTGGCTTGGGCTGCGAGTTTGTGCAGCGAACCTACAAGGCTAAACAGCCCCATACTCGCTATAACAGTCATCGCTACAAACCAGCAAGCCCTTCATAACCAGCCAGCCAGTCTCACCTGGTGCACCAGCTTGTGCAGTGTACTTAACAATCTACCAAACCATACACACCCGTACTCGTTACAAGCATCTCCACTACCAGGAAGCCAGTCTCACCTGATGCACCAGCTTATGCAGAGTCTTGCCGAGCTTTGGCATGCGAACCAACTCTCCGAGCTCCTGAGATAGAGAATGAGAGGAGGGATTGAGAAGGAGAGAGAGGAGATAAGAGAAGATCACGACAGAGGAGATAGGCATTTGAACCTTCCAGAAAGGAACACGAGAGAAGGGAGAGAATTATCTCGAGGAAAGCACGAGAAAGAAGAGCTGAAGAAGCGGAGGAGGGCGGGGGCGGAGGGAGAGCAAGCAAGACAAGAGGAAAGCAAGACAAAGAATAGCTCCAGAAGCGGAGGAGGGGAGGGGGGAGGGAGAGCAAAGAAGAGGAAAGCACGAGAAAGAACAGCTGCAGAAGCGGAAGGGGGGGGGCGAGAGCGAGGGAGAGCAAGACAAAGAGGAAAGCAAGACAGCGAACACCTCTGCACCACCCCATCCCACCGCTTCCCACCACTTCCCAGCTGTGACGAGAGGTCGTAGTATGGCTCCCACACCAGGTCCTTTCTTTCGAGTTTGGCGATAATTTCAAGAGGCATGCGGGGAGTGGAGAATGGATACCACACTTGTGCTTTCCCATGCAGTAACAACCCCACCGCACCCCACCCCACCGCAAAACCACCGCACTCCACCATATCCCACCTGGGACGAGAGGTCGTAGTATCGCTCCCACACCAGGTCCTTCCTCTCGAGCTTGGCGATGATTTCAAGCGGCACTCCCTTGAACTGCCTCAGGGGGGACTGCGCTGCCCACCCCACCCCATCCCACCACTTCTTACCCCACCCCACCGCTTCCCACTTCCTTCCCACCTGGGACGAGAGGTCGTAGTATCGCTCCCACACGAGGTCCTTCCTTTCGAGCTTGGCGATGATCCCGAGAGGCACGCCCTTGAACTGCCGCAGGGGCGACTGCGCTGCCCACCCCACCCCATCCAACCTCTTTCCACCGCTTCCCATCCCTACCCACCTGGGACGAGAGGTCGTAGTAACGCTCCCACACCAAATCCTTTCGCTCCAGCTTGGCGATGATTTCAAGAGGCACTCCCTTGGCGCTGCCCATATGCGGCGAGTCACCATGAGTGAGTGGCGGACCGGCGGACTGGGAGGGGGGGGAAGGGAGCACGGATTGGGGGTTCTGACAAGTGAGTCACCATCTTGCAGAGGTTGAGTGCCCGCTCTGCCAGGCGCGCCCACCCCCTCCTTAGGATGATCTCAAACAATGCTCGCATGAGCCGACCGGCGGACTGGGAGGGGGGGGAAGGGAGCACGGATTGGGGGTTCTGACAAGTGAGACACGATCTTGCTGGGGTTGAGTGCTCGCTCTGCTAGATGCGCCCACCCCCTCCTCAGGATGATTTCGAACAGCGCCCGCATGAGCCGACCTGCAGACTGGAATGGGTGACAGGGGGAGAGTAGGGGAGCGAAACGTACAGTTTAAAATTCTCAATTGCACACACGACAAACACAGGACGTCGACACACACAGAGAGAAAGCATCTCTGCTGAATGAAGCTTTTCGTTACTTCCTACGTACCCAGTACTGTAGCATTGGCTAACTAACTAGACCGTCTAGCCGACATGACAACCACTGCTCAGCCGAGTGTTCTATTGGGATTCCGCAGAGCAATCGGAGTTGTTTTACATTTAAACAACATGCTTAGGTAAGCGTTTACTGCAGCGCACCTGAGTGACGTAGACCATGTCAGAGACGAGTGACAGCCCATCCAGCTGCAGCTGACTGATGTACGCCTGGAGAGGGAGGGGAGGGGGGACAAGGGGAGAAGGGGGGGAGGGAGGGCGATAGGGCAGATGAGGAAAAGTGAGTCATCTAATAGCGAAGAAAGGGGAGACGCAAGGAAGAGACCATCGGGCTGCAGCTGGCTGGAGAGGAGAGAGCAAGGGAACAGGCCGCAGAGAGGGATGAGCGAGGGGCAGCGAGAGGGAGAGAATGAGCAATGGGAGAGAGAGAGAGAGACGGGAAAGTGAGGGGAGAGAGAGGGGATGGAGAGAGGGAGAGGGGAGGGTAAAGAGAGAGGGAAAAAAAGGAGAGAGAGACGGAGAGAGGAAGGAAGTTAATCTTGACGCTGGTTTCCTCTATGAGGACGAGTCACGAGAAGAACCCACAAACCCCGAAACCCTAAATTGAACAGCCCACCTGCAGCAGCACGTTGATCTTGGCGCTGGGTTCCTCTGTCCCTTCCTTCACGGGGATGGGCACTCGCTCCAGCAGCAGAAAGAGGGGAGAGAAGAACCCCAAACCCCTATAGGCCAAAACCCCCAAAACCCAGAACCCCTAAACCAGAACCCAGCCCACCTGCAGGAGCAAGTTGATCTTGGCGCTGGGCTCCTCAATGCCCTCCTCCACGGGGATGGGCACTCGCTCCAGCAGCAGAGAGAGGGGAGAGAGGGTAGAAAAGTTCCCAAACCCTAAACCCCGAACCCACAAACAGCCCACCTGCAGCAGCACGTTGATCTTGGCGTTTGGCTCTTCAATGCCCTCCTTCACGGGGATGGGCACTCGCTCCAGCAGCAGAGAGAGGGGAGAGAGGGGAGAGAGGGGAGAGAGGGGAAAGAAGAACCCAAACCCCTCTAGCCCAAAACCGCAGCACCCCACCCCACCTGCAGCAGCACGTTGATCTTGGCACTTGGCTCCTCGATCCCCTCCTTCACGGGGATGGGCACTCGCTCCAACAGCTTCGCCAGCTCCAGCTTCTCCTCCTCGCGCACGCCCACATACTTGAACTCTTCCGAGAGGGAGCACCGAGGGAGGAGAGCGAGGAGAGAGATGGACCAGAGGGGGAGAAGGAGGGGAAGGAAGGGGGGAGAAAGAGGGAAGAGAGGGGGAGAGGAGAACCCCAAACCCAAGCAACCAACCCACCTGCAGCAGCACGTTGATCTTGGCACTGGGCTCCTCAATGCCCTCCTTCACGGGGATGGGCACTCGCTCCAACAGCTTCGCCAGCTCCAGCTTCTCCTCCTCGCGCACGCCCACGTACTTGAATTCTTCAGACAGAGAGAAGAGGCGGCACAGGTCGATGTCGCCCATCGTGGGCTTTAAGTGCTCGTTGTACGTCGCGATGGTGCCGTGGGAGATGTAGTAGAACGAGGCGATCCGCCCCAGATCGGTCACCTGGAGGTTCAGGGTTGTGGTTTAGGACGGGGAAGAGCAGGGAGGGATGGAGTGGGAAGGTTTATGAAGCCGGTGTGGCAGAGAGACGGCGCGATGGTGCCGTGGGAGATGTAGTAGAACGAGGCGATGCGCCCCAGATCGGTCACCTGGAGGGGGTTAACAGAAGGGGAAAAAGGAGGAATGGGGTGGAGCGGGGGAGGGGGGGGGGAAGGGGGGGAGGGGGAATGGGGGGGAGAGGGGGATGGTGGGCTTTAAGTGCTCGTTGTACGTGGCGATGGTGCCATGGGAGATGTAGAAAAAGAGGAGGCTATGCGGCCCAGATCGGTCACCTGGGAGGGATTAGCGGAGAAGGGGAAACAGGGAGGATGAGGAAACGAGTAAATGAGTAGAGTGGAGAGCGCGAGAGAGGACTCAAGCCTGGGCTCACCTGAAAGACTCTTGACTTGCAATTGTACAGTACTTCATGAAGTGCAATTGTACCTGCTTAAGTGAACACCTACTTCACCTGCAGGAGCAGCTGGGCTCGCCAGGAAAACCCCTGACTTGCTCATAATCGATGAGCGAGCTCAGAAGGCACCTGAAAAAACACCTGAAGTTAGCTGGGCTCACCTGAAAGACGCCCGACTTGCGGTCATACTTCATGAGGTTGTTACGATCAAGCTGCACCGCTGCTGAGTGGATCTGGTGGCGGGGACAATGGGAGGGAGGGCGGGGCAAGGAGGGCGGGGAACGCAAGGAGGGCGGGGAATGCAAGGAGGGAGGGGGTGTTCTTGTAAGGACATGAAGACTCCCAACATGTGATCGTACTTCGTGAGGTTGTTACGATCAAGCTGCACTGCTGCTGAGCGGATCTGATGTGAGTGGAATTAGGGAAGGGCGGGCGAAAGGTTTGGAGGGCAACAGGAACGAGAGGGAATCAGAGAAAGAGGATAGTTGTTGCGACCCAGCTGCACCGCTGCTGCGTGGATCTGGTAAATATTAAGAGAAAAAAGGGGGGGGGGGGGGAGGGAGGGGGGTTGGGAAAGCAGGAAGGGAAGGAAGAAGGGAATAATGAGATGTGAGGTTGTTTCGAACCAGCTGCACCGCTGCTGAGTGGATCTGGTGTGGGTTAGCATATGAGGACGGGCAGGAAAGACACGTAGGGCAGAACAGGCAGAAAGTTGGTGCACGGACTCGGAGAGATGAGATGGGTGGGTGGATGATAGGTGAGGTTGTTTCGATTCGATCCAGCTGCACCGCTGCTGAGTGGAACTGGTGTGGGTGACCATGGGCGGGTGGGAGGGAAACGCAAGGAGGGACGGGGAGTTGTGTTGTTGCAAGGACACAGAGAGATGAGATGGGGAAGGAGAGGTGAGTGAGGTAGGTACGATCCTCCAGCTGCGGAGTGGATCTGAAAGTGTTGGGAAGATGACAGAGGGGAGGGGGGGGAGGAGATGGAGAGGAGATAGGAGAGAGGCCGGAGGAGGGACGGAATGAGAGGTGGGCTTGATGCAATCCAGCTGCTTTTGAGGCCGGGTGCTCTCAAACGCAACCGGGTGCTCTGGATGACCCTCCTATGTGCATCTACCCTCCTCTGCATGCACAGATGGTGTTAGTAATGGGAAACCCTTTCCTCTCCTCCTGCACGAGGTCCCTCTCAGCCTCCTCTGCCAAGATGCCGTACAGAGGCGGGTTGAGAAAGCATCCCTTTCACTACTGGCACCGCTACTAGCACTTTCACTACTAGCACACTACCACTACTGACTGCCACTCACCAGGTCCGCCCGCCTCTCCTCCAGCACAGGATCCCTCTCAGCCTTATCTGCCAAGATGCCGTACAGAGGGGGGTTGCTCATGATGCAACCACTACTTTCACTACAGTCACTCACCAGGTCTGCCCGCCTCTCCTCCAGCACTGGGTCCCTCTCAGCGTCATCAGCCGATATGCCGTACAGAGGGGGGTTGCTCATGCATTCACCCGTTTCACCACTCACACTACCAACTCTAGCACCACAGCTACGCACCAGCTCATTTCTGCTCTGCCACTCACCAGGTCCGCCCGCCTCTCCTCCAACACTGGGTCCCTCTCAGCATCATCTGCTGAGATGCCGTACAGAGGGGGGTTGCGCAACATGCGGATGTACAGATACGTGTAGCCCAGCCACCTGGGATAAGCGGGGAGAGGGGGGATGGTGGAGATACATGTGAAAGACATGTTGCACACTGGTCCGGGCGAGTAGCAGGCAGCAAGCCCTCCTCCCTGTCTGCCGAGATGCCGTACAGAGGGGGGTTGCGCAGCATGCGGATGTCCAGGCATGTGTAGCCCAGCCACCTGGGGTGTGGGAGAGAAGGGATGGAATGGGGATACATGTGAGACGATGTTACACTGGTCCGGGCGAGTGGCAGCCAACAGGGCGCCTCCTCTGCTCTGCTGAGATGCCATGCAGAAGCACGGGGGTTGCGCAACAGATACGTGTAGCCCAGCCACCTAGGGTTGAGAGGGGACGGTGGGGATGGGGGAGGGAGAGGGGGGGAGGGAGAGGGGGGGAGGGAGAGGGGGGGAGGGAGAAATGACATCCTCTCCTGTGCTGCTATGCCATACAGAGGCGGGTTGCGCAGCATGCGGATGTACAGATACAGGTACGTGTGTAGCCCAGCCACCTGTGATTGAAACGGGGAGAAGGTGGGGTGGGAGGGGGGGGGGGGGGAGGGGCGGGGCGGGGCGGGTGGGGAAAAACAGGGGAGGCGGGCATATGTAAGAGGAGCGTACAGAGGGGAGTTGCGCAGCATTTGGATAAACAGATATGTGTAGCTCAACCACCTCGTATATCTATTGAGGCGCCTCAAATGCTGTGCCGCATGCGGATGTATGTAACTCATCCCCCAATCCTCCCTGCCCCTCTGCATGCCTCCCACGCGTTGTGAACCGTCCCAGGTACCTCCTCCGCGCTCAAGCTATCCGCCAGGCGAGACAACAGCTGTGACACTATGGGGAGCTGCTGGTTCAGCTGGTAAGCCCCAACCCCAATCCCACCTGCACGCCTCTCGTGCGTTGTGCACCGTCCCCAGCACCGCCTCCGCGTTCAAGCTATCCGCCAGACGAGACAGTAGATGTGACTCTATGGGGAGCTGCAGGTCCAGCCGCAAAACCCCAACCCCTGAACCCGTCCTAAACTGAGAACTTGTGTTGCTCTCCTCACCTGCATGCCTCCCTTGCGTTGTGCACCGTGCCCAGCACCGCTTCAGCGTTCAGACTGTCCGCCAACCGAGAGAGAAGCTGTGACTCTATGGGGAGCTGCTGGTTCAGCAGCAAGAGGTAGAACTGCAGCTCACTCCCAACCCGGCAAATCCCCAAACCCTGAACCCCCCTGTCCCTCCTCACCTGCACGCCTCCCTCGCGTTGTGCACTGTCCCCAGCACTGCCTCTGCATTCAGGCTATCCGCCAGGCGGGAGAGCAGCTGTGACTCTATGGGGAGCTGCTGGTTCAGCAGCGACAGGTAGAACTGCAGCTCGCCATGCCCCGTTATAATCACACCCTCCCCGTACGTGTCGTACTGTGGCCGCCCCGCTCGCCCCAGCATCTGCATCACGTCTAAAGGGGAGAGCTCCGTCCATGCTCCTTTTTCAGGGTTGTACACCTGAGCAGCGTGAAAGGGAAAAGAGGAAACACAGAACAGATGTGTGACTTGTTGTGTCGTACTGCGGGCACCCTGCTCGCCCCAGCATTGGCATGCCGTCTAAAGGGGAGAGCTCCGTCCATGCTCCCTTCTCTGGATTGTACACCTGAGAATAGACGGCAAGAGAAGAAAAAGAACAAGGGGAAAGAGAGAGAAAGGAGAAGGCAGAATATATGTGACTTGTGTGTTTTGTGCTGTCAACGCCCCGCCCACCCCAGCATCTGCATGACGTCTAACGGGGAGAGCTCCGTCCATGCTCCCTTCTCTGGGTTGTACACCTGAAGGGAGGAGGGCAAGAGAAAAACAAGGAACACGAGAAAAGAGAGGGAAAGGAGAGGTGAGTGTCGTCCTGCGGCCGCCCAGCCCGGCCCCAGCATCTGCATGACGTCTAAAGGGGAGAGCTCCGTCCATGCTCCTTTTTCAGGGTTGTACACCTGAGCAGGGGAGGACAAGAGAACAAAAAAGAAAAAGAGAAAAGAGAAAGAAAGGAGAAGGCAGAATCCGTGAGACTTTGTGTGTCGTACTGTGGGCGCCATGCCTGCATCTGCATCTGCATCTGCATCTGCATCTGCATCTGCATCTGCATCTGCATCTGTAGATAGGTTATTTTTGAGACGTCTCAAAAATAAACTATCTACACATGGCATCTGCATCAGCATGACGTCTAAGGGCGAGAGCTCCGTCCATGCGCCCTTCTCTGGGTTGTACACCTGAAGAGGGGAGTAGGAAAGGCAGAGGACAAAAGCCAGAGAGCAAAATCCACGTGACTCAGAGTGTCGTACTGTGGCCGCCCCGCCCACCCCAGCATCTGCATGACGTCTAACGGGGAGAGAGCTCCGTCCATGCTCCCTTCTCTGTGTTGTGCACCTGCAGGCATGAGTCCAGAAGGGGGGTGGGGTGACAAGATGGGAAACGCGGAATAGGAGGGAGGAGACGAGACGGGAGGGGAGGAGGGAGAGAGGGAGGAAGTCTGAACAGCCACACTCCCCCCCAAACCATTCATGCGTGCCCTTGATCATGACCTTTGTGGGCAGGCAGGCTGACACCCCATTCGAGGCCAGAGTAACAGCAGAAAACACACACACCTACACTCTGGTGACTAAGTCTAAACAGCCACACTACCCCCCTTCCCACCGTACCTTCGTGCCCTAAATGATGACCGTGTGAGCTGGCAAAGTTTACACCCCATGCGAGAGGAGCAGTGAACACAAGCACTGCTGCCAGCCACTGCTGCTCTTTGGTAACCCAAGTCCGACCAGCCATTCCCCCTCAAACCATACCTGCGTGCCCTTGATAATGACCGTGTGAGCCGGCAGGTTGACACCCCATGCGAGAGTAGCAGTAGACACAAGCACCTGCAGCACGAGCCGGGGATAAGGGAGAAAACAGGGAGGGGAAGAAGGGACTTCGGTGAGGTATTCGGGAAACAAGGAACCCTGAATATGGTGCGACTTTTGAGAGAAATTTTCTCAAAACCCTGAATATGGTGCGACTTTTGAGGGAAAATTTCTCAAAACCCTGAATATGGCATCTTCAACGGCAGCAGGTCCCTCAGCTCCCCACTCCTCACACTCTCCGCCTCACTCGCCAGAATCTCCCTACTCGACCCATCCTCCTTCAAAAACCGCCCCATAAGGCACCAAACACCCCTCTCTTCCTCTCTCTCCCCTCGCCCCATCACGTGTGCTCCAAACACCGGACCAGGACACTCACCTGAATGTGCCCATCGGCAAACAGGTCCTCAACCAGCGTCCTGTCCGCCCGGGCCAGCCCGGCATGGTGAATGGCAAACCCATACGGCAGCAGGCCCCTCTCTTTCTCCTCGCTCTCCCTCTATCTCTCCCCCCTCACCTGAATATGCCCGTCTGCAAATAAATCCTCAACCAGCGTCCTGTCAGCCCGGGCCAGCCCGGCATGGTGAATGGCAAAACCATACGGCAGCAGGTCCCTCAGCTCCCCACTCTTCACACTCTCCGCCTCACTCGCCAGAATCTCCCTGCTCGCCCCATCCTCCTTCAAAAACCGCCCCAGCGTATCCGCAGCCAGTGCCGCGTCCCGCACCGCGCGGGCGGTCTTCCCCGTCTCTTTCCGGGAATGGACAAAAACCAGCACCTGGTGCCGCCCGGCACACTCCACCACCTTCTCATAACAAATCTCGTTCATCAATTGAAACCGCTGCAGCGGCTTTCGGACCGTAATCCCGATATATTGCTGCGCGAGCGGGCACGGGCGGAACGAATTATCAAAGTAAAACAGCCCCTTGTCCAAATCCACGCGCAGAAAAATCGCCACGTCTTCATAATTCGGGAGAGTGGCGGAAAGCCCGACCAATCGGATCATTTCCTGTGTTCTCTCGACCTGCCGGACGGTTCGGGCGACGATGCTTTCGAGCACGGGTCCGCGGTGGTCGTGCAGGAGGTGGATTTCGTCGATGATCACGAGGCGGACCAGCTGTGTGTACGTGCGGTCTCCTGCCTTGCGGGTTATGATGTCCCACTTCTCAGGGGTAGTGACTATGATCTGGGGGGGACGGAGCGAGGGAGAGAGAGTGGGAGAGGGAGAGAGAGAGAGAAATTGAGGGAGAGAGTGAGTGAGGGAGTGCGGGCGAGAGAGAGAGAGAGGGAGAGATCTCCAATCCAGCAGCGGTGCTTTCAAGCACGGGTCCGCGGTGGTCGGGCAGGAGGTGGATCTCGTCGATGATCACGAGGCGGACTAGCTGTGTGTACCTGCGGTCGCCCGCCTTGCGCGTTATGATGTCCCACTTCTCTGGCGTGGTGACTATGATCTAGACGGGCGGGAGAGGGTTAAGGGGGAAGGAGGAAGGGACAGAGGGAAGGGATGATGAAAAGGCGGACTAGCTGTGTGTACGTGCGGTCGCCCGCCTTGCGCGTTATGATGTCCCACTTTTCGGGGGTAGTCGCTATGATCTGGGGGGGGGAGAGAAGGGGGGCGGGCGGGGAGAGGGGGAGAATGACGGAGAGAGTGAGGGAGGGGGAGAGAGTGAAAGAATCGCCAGCAGCACCAGCTGCGTGTACGAGCACTCTCCTTCCTTGCGCGTTTTAATGTCCCACATTTCCGGCGTGGTCACTATGATCTGGGAGAGGAGGGGGGAGGGGAGGAGGAGGGGGACGGAGGAATTAGGGTTGCCAGCAGTTGAGGAAGAGTAAGGAAGAGTAAGGAAGAGTGTGAGACTGACCAGCTGTGTGTATGTGCAGTCACAGTTCACCTGCCGTGTGCGTTGTGGTGTCCCTCCCGCCTCACCTGGGTCTCTTCAATCTGCTGCCGGGTCAGCGAGGCATCTCCAGTCAGCTCCTTCACGCTCACGCCATAATCCTTCAGCCGGTTTCCCAGATTTCCCACCAGTTCCGCCACCAGCGCTTTCATAGGCGCCACATACACGATCTTAAACCCCGACAAGTCAATACTCCCCTCCTCCCTCCTGTGCAACCCGATCTCATGCAGAATCGTCAGCATCGCGACGTTTGTTTTTCCTGCCCCGGTCGGCGCGCAGAGCAGCATATTTTCCGGGGTGAATAGCGCCGTTTCATAAACCTTGCTCTGGACGCGGTTTAGGGTTTTCGTCTCGCCAAACGCGGGCTGAGCCCATTCGGGCAGGTCGGAAATTTTCACCAGCTCCTCGCCCTTGCCCAGAGGCTTGGGCTTCAGGGCGGGCACGTGGACCTCCTCGTAACCTTTTTTGGGTGCCCGGTACGAGCCCTCGGGCAGCTCGCAACGTTTGTTGGCCATCAACCAGCTGCCCTGGGAGAAACCGAGCGAATCGAGATCTAGCATCTGCCGCTGCCCCTTCAACCACCCTCCCCCTCCGCCTCCCCCGCCTCTTCCGCCTCCCCCTCCTCCCGCTTCCCCCTCCTCCCCGCCCTTCCCCCCTCTCTCCCCCTTCCGCCCAATCTCCATCTCGTCGCCCTCCATCCCCTCCCCCGCGCCCCCCGCGCCTCCCGCGCCCCCCTCGCGTAGCTTCCGCGCCTCCTCGCGGATGCTGCGCTCGAGGTTCCGCTGCCTCTCCTTGGCGGACGCGCGCGTCGCGTGCAGCTGCTCCAGAATCGCGCGCAGCGCGCGGTCCCCCTTCTCCGTCATCTCCCCCTCGATGCGCTTCCGCTCCGCGTCGTCCTCCGCGCGCGCCAGCCGCGTACACCATACAATCTTGAGCCGATTACGCAGTAAGAGCTTGATCAAATCGAACTTATCGTAATCCAGAAGCCTCACGAGCTTATTCTCCGCCTCCCGCTGCTGCTCGTCCGCGCCCGCGCCCGCGCCCCACCCCGACGCCCCCCCTCCGCCTCCGCCTCCGCCTCCCCCTCCCCCGTCCCCTTCCCCGCCCCCCGCCGCCTCCAATATCCCCAGCGCCTCCGCCGCGAGCTTCTGGCTCTGCTGCGGGTCGATTCCGCCGCCTGCTGACGTGGCGTACGCCTGCGCGATCTTGCGCTGCAGCCAATAGGCGTCGATGTCCTGAACGCTCAGCCCCTCCTCCTCGCGCTCCTCGTCGTCGTCCAGCGCGCCCGCCATCTGCATTCCGCCGTCCGCCGCGCCCTCTCCGCCGTCCCCGCCTTCCGCGCCCTCCTCCTCCTCCTCGTCCTCGTCCTCCTCCTGAATCTCGTCCAAATCCTCATCATCCTCATCCTCTTCCTCTTCGAATTCCACCGCCACGCCGATATCGTCGTCTAGCGCCTCCCCCGCTCCCCCCTCCCCGTCTCCGCCGGCTCCGCCTCCGCCTCCGCCTCCGCCCTGCTCGTAGTCCGTGATGCGCTTCCCGAGCGCGACGAACTCCGCGAACCGCTCGTTCGGCATCGCGTTCAGCAGCTTCTCGATTTCGCGCTTCCGCTCCGGATCCGTCAGCTTGTCGTCTTTAAGAACCGTTAGAACCTCGTCCGCCGCGCCGCGCAGCACGTCCTGCGGCTGGTCCCCGAATTGCTGCTGGATGAGGCTCAGCAGAAGCTCGTACGCGGCGCGCGTCTCGCGCGTGCGCGGGCGGTACATCCCGTCGTCGACCAGCGACAGAACCGTGTGCTCCTGAAAACCCGCTCCGCCCTGCCCGCCACCCCCGCCGCCGCCGCCGGCGCCGGTGCCGCGCTTCTGCCGCTTGGTAGATTTCTTCCCGAGCAGATCCAAGCCGACGTCGCCGCCGGCGCCGGCCGCGGAGGTTCCGCCGGCCGCGAGAGATTTCAGGCGGTCCTTCTCGCGCTTCTCGCGCTTCTTCTTCGCAGCTTCCTCCACCTCCTTGGGCCTGCCGTGGCCGGCCCGGTCGCCGAATTTTTTCATGTCGACGCGGCCCCAGAGAGTCTCCGGCTCGCCCGTGGACTCGTGCGAGTCGCGCGGACGCGACTCGAGGTTGAGCACGAGGGAGGAGTTGGCGCGGTACTCATACTGCTTGAATCGCGCGAACGCCTCAGCACCTCCCCCCGGATTCGCCATGGCGGATTAACCCGAAACTAGTCGAGGCGCAACTATGACAAAAGCGCAGTTTATTTTATTTTTTTGTAAGAGGATGAGGTTGAAGAGCAATAGCGAGGATTTTCCTCTGTGTACAAAAACGAAACAGCTGCTGAGGTATCTATATTACAATTAAGGAAGTTTCATACAAACCATATTTCATATTGCTTGAGAGTCCAGAAGAATATCACATGTAAGCATGGTTCTGCAGCATCTTGCTGCACCCACAAACCTGCATCATGTCGACTGTGTTCATACTGTTGGTAGGTAAGTCCTATCACATCAAACATCGTCAACGACATATTTATTTTCCATCCGGATTTTTCCAAGCTTGTACCCCTCTGTACCCTCATCACTGCCCCTCCCCACCCTGTCAAACTATACAAATGTTTGTTCTAGGCTACAGTGAGGCATGCTGTAGAGGGTACAACCCTTTAAGGGTTTCCCATATGTATCTCACATCCTGCTAGTCAATCATCATTCCGCTGTTCTCATTCTGACATGGTATCATCGTAGGTTCGTTCCGACTGCCTTCCGCGCTGCTGCCTCTGCGCGAGCGCTGCCCACTGCCCTACTGCGCGTGCTGCTACTGCTGCTGCGCGCGCTGTTGCGCGCGCTGCTGCCGCTCACTGGCCGCCCACTGCACGCGCTGCTGGCACACACAGTCCCCTCCATTTAGAAGTCTTCAGCACTGCACTTAGTATTATACCACACACACACACACACACACATTTATATTCCACGCACAGAGACGTCTGCGTGCGTGAGTGTGTGCGTGCGAGCGTGCATGCATGGGAGGGTGGGTGGGTGGATGTGTGTGTGTGGGTGTGGGTGTGTGGGTGTGTGTGTGTGTGGGGGGGTGGGGTGTGTGTGTGGGTGTGTGTGTGTGTGGGTGTGTGTGTGTGTGTGTGTGTGTGTGTGTGTGTGTGTGTGTGTGTGTATGTGTGTGTGTTTTGTACTTCAATGTTTTCAGCATCCATTTGTGTGCCAGGGCTGATGAATCAGCCAACCCCAAAACCAGTCTGAGGATCTGACTACTACAGAGAATGCCAGATTCAGCATGCCTTGCAACAAGCTAGAAACAAGGATAAATATGAAAAATAAAAAATCCCATAAATAAAACGTGAACATGTTAGACAATGGCTATCAGATGATGTTCAACAACCAAAACAGCTTGTATACTACCAAAACATGCCAACCTGTCCTGATCATTTTAAAGACTTAAAACCGCCTCACAAAGAAAGCCCTGATACTCCACATGTGTGGCCTGCCCTGATGGTAGAGTAGACTCAAAAGAGTTCAGACCTGTCCATTTAAGAGCAAGGAAAAGTAGGTATGGGGGTATGGGGTGTGGTTGAGTGCAAGGTGAACGAACATTGCAAACGGGCAGCTGGCGACAATGCAGGAGAGGATTCAAACCAAATCAAATCACGAATCTGTCAGCAGCAGCAGCCACACGAGCCAAATGCCCGCTCACCTTGTCATTAGTCATCTTCCTCTTCTTCCCACCAGCCCTACCGGGGCATGTGAGCTTGTGGGAGGGCCAGAGCACCTAAAAGCCTTCAATACTGCATGCCATACTGAGTTGCTCCACCTACAGTCCCCTCCAGCCACTGCCCTTGCATACGCTTCCGCCACTCACCTTGCCCCTGTTGAGGAATACCCAAGCAACACTCACTTAGTCACTGCTCTTCTTCCCACCGGCCCTGCCAGGGCATGCAAGCTTGTGGGAGGGCCAGTGGGCCTTCTGGCAGTCCCTGCCGCAATACGCCACCCTGCCACACCCAGAGCAGCTCCTCAGCTTCACACCACCGCCCTCCACCGCGCCGCACCCTGCAGCACCGCACACACGCCTCCTGGAACCCCCGGGCCCTGGACTGACTTGATGTGCATTCGCAACGGAACTTGAAGCAGAAGCAGCAGCAGATTTTGGTGCAGCAGCAGCAGCAGCAGCAGCAGCAGCAGATTTTGGTGCAGCAGCAGCAGCAGCAGCAGATTTTGGTGCAGCAGCAGCAGCAGCAGCAGCAGCAGCAGCAGCAGCAGCAGCAGCAGTGCTTGGTGCAACAGCAGGGGCAGGGCGGTAGCAGGGCTTCCCCAGCAGCATCTCACGCAGGCAAGCCACCAGATTGACCCCTCCCGGCCATGCCTTCAGATAAGCCGGCACCTCCTCCTCCTCGCTCTTCCCCTTCCCCTTCCCCGCTTTGCCACTCTTACTACCACTGCTCCTTCCGCTGCTGCTGCTGCTGCCGCCGCCGCTGCTGTAGAAGGTGCTGCTGCTGGCAGGCGGAACCCCCTCATCCCATTCCTCACAGAACCGCAACTCCAGGCACCTGTTGCACAGCTCTGTCGCCACGTCCTTGCTGCACTTGCGTGGCGGCCCGCCGCCGCCGCTGCCTCTTCTGCAGTCGTCGATCAGATCGGTCATCGCATCAGTCCTCCACGCAATCAGCACTGCAAAGCCCCAGTCCTTCACCTCCTCCCACACCTCCCCATCATCCTCCTCCTCTTCCCCTTCCTCTACTCTCCCTCCCCCACCACCCCCACGCGTCCTTCTCCCTGCCTTCCTCCCTTCCGCCCCCCCCAGCAGCTCCCCCTTCCACTCGTCCCGACCGACCATCCCAATCTCCTCGACCTGCAGCATCGCATTCGGCCAGTTCAGTGCCACGTTTAGCAAAAAGTGAACAGGAAGCTCCTCCGCTCTCTCCCTCACCACGTGCACCTGGAATGCCGCACAGGTGCCCCGAGGGAACGGCTCTAACAGCAGCAGGTCCACGAGCTTAGCGAATTCCGGCGAACGGGGGGGAAAGACGGAGAGGAAGCGGTTGAGGAGGACGGTGGCGGGGCGGTAGGCGAAATTGGCGAGGAGGGTGAGGAAGGGGATGTGGTAGGTGAACTGGTCCAGGCACGAGCGGCAGCGGGCGCACGCGGGGGGGTAGACCTGATGCCCGGCAAACTCCACCAGGAAATGAGCGTCTGCTGCGCAACGCACGATGGGCACAGCTTTGTTTTCACGTGCTGCTGCTGCTGCTGCTCTGGAAGGGTGCGCTCCCCCTCCTCCCTTATCGCCACTCCCCCTGCCACGTCCCTTGCCACGCTTCCCGCCGCTCCCCCCGCCGCTTCCCCCACCGCTCCCCGTGCCACTTCCCCTGTCACCTGCCTTGCTGCTTCCCCTGTTCTCCTGATCTCCCACCCCTGCCGCTTCTACAATCCCCAAATGGAAACACCGCACACTCTGATCGTCAGGAAACGTCACAGCATCTTCCTCACCCCGCGGCCACTCCTCCCACTCCGGATGAAACTGCTTCCAAGGCAGCGGCTTGGGGATGGCACCGAGCCTGACCAGCAGGCTCGGAAGGTCCCGAAGCGGGTGCCGCATGGGCAGGATTCTGCCGTGCGGGCTGTTCTTGAAGCACCTCCTAGCTGAGATGAAATCTGAGCCGTAGATTCGCACCCACTGCAGGATACAGCCGACCCGATACGCCATTGCTGAGACGATCGGGTTCGTGTTGACAGGGGCGAGGGAAGGGGCGGGTGGGTCGGTGAACAGCGGGTTAGTGTTGTTGACGACCGACGATGCAGCTGCTGTATCATCTATGGCACCTCCCACTCCCACCTGCACCTCCCTTCCCACCTTCTCCCGCATAAGCCTCCCTCTGGCCTCCTCAATCACTGCATCTTCCACGCGTGACTGCCTCACACTCTCGGCGTCCATACAGAACACCTCGCCCTGCTTGCGCTGCCCACTGTTGGAAATCACAGTGGCGAATGCAAGGGCGAATTCGGTGGCGCCCACGCCGCTCAGATACATGCCCTTGGGAGCACCCCTGCTGTCCAGGCTGCTGCTGCTGCTGCTGCCTCCACCACCACTGCTGCCACTGCTGCTGCTGCCGCCGCCGCCGCTGCTGCTGCTGCTCCCACTGCTGCAAATCCCACTGCTGCTGCTGCTCCCACTGCTGCAAATCCCACTGCTGCTGCTGCTCCCACTGCTGCAAATCCCACTGCTGCTGCTGCTGTCGCCCCCCTCACTGCAGTGGCTGCATTTGAACTCCCTCCTTTCCCCCCCTCCATGCTCCAGAATCCAAGTCATGCCATCCACATACCTTTCCCACACAGGCCCTTTCAGGTGCTCCCTCCACTTACCATCCTTCCCACCCTTCCTCCCAGCACTCTCACCACGCCTCCCTCCCCTCCCCCCGGCCTCGCTCCTCTCCACCATACACGCCACCGTGCCGCCCCCCTCCTCCTCTCCGTCCACGCCCATGACATGCCGCATCCGCGTCATCACATCTGCTGCTGTGGGAGCATCACTCGCGCCCATCATGCGCATCATCTCCTCAAACATCCGCCATCCCTCCCCTCCCGCCTGCTCCCCAACCCCCCTCCCCGCCCCCGCCCCCGCCCCCCCTGCTCCCCCTGCTTTCCTCTCCCCCTCCCCACGCTCCCTCACCCCCCCTGACAGCAAGTTCTGCATGAAAAACCCAAACCCTTCCTTGAGCTCACCAGCCTCCTTCACCCCAAGCACCTGCACCAGCAGGGAGGCTAACTGATCCTCCTTTCCCTGCCTGACAGCCCCCAGCTTACGCATTACCCCTGGGAACGTGGCAGAATCGGAGTCCACGTGGGCCTTCCATAGAGTCACAATGCGGGGCAGCCTCGCTACAATCACGAGGAAGGTGGCGAAGCTGACAGCACGGCGGTAGGCAGCCCAGCAGCCGCTGCAGCGGTAGCAGCAGGACCAGGCGAGCACGGGAACAGGAGGAGCAGCGGTAGCAAGAGCAGGGGATCCAGCATCAGGACCGGCCACCCCTAGAATGGTCGGCAGGCGGGATCTGATAATCCCAAGGTCCATCAGCACACCCACTCGCGGCTCTGCCATCCACTCTAGCACCATCGCCTCTGCACAAACCCCCGGCGCCCGCTTGCACTTCCATTTGTACCGCTCTCGAGAGGACTGCACCCCTTGCCGCCCTCCCAGCGCCCCATCCGGCAACGGAACCTTGGAGGAGAAATCTTCAATCGCCCGTGCCTTTGCCTTCTGGGCTGGTGACGATGCCTGATTGGCTTGTAACACGAGGGATACGGATTCTTTCAGCTGCCGCCGGAGGGTGGAGCGCAAGTCCCTGAGGATGTGGATACCCAGGGCGAGCTTTGTCCGGCGGGACACCACACGGTCGAAGCACGGCTCGCAGGCGGCGACATCCCAGCCGTTCCTCACGTCTAGATAGTGAACCATGTCCGTTCGATCCAGCAGCTGGATACCACCCTGCTGCGCCGGGCGTTTCGAAGCACCCTCTGTCTCTTCTCGCTCCCCTCCCTCTCCTCTCTCGGCCTTGCCCTTCCCTGGATTGGCAGCTGCAGCTGATGACTCTGGTTGCTTTGGCGCTGTTTCCTCGTGCTTCTTGCTCCCTTTCTCCACGGCTGTTTCCTCCTCCTTGCTGCTGCCTGCTGCGCTCGGTCGGAGCTTGCCCGGGCAACCGTCGCCAGTAAGAGAGGAGGAGCAAAGGCCACCAGTGTGACCGATCGCCGAGCCAGAAGCAACTGCCTCGGCCTTCACCTTCCCTCCGCCACTCCTTCCAACAACCTTCCACTTCAGGTCCTGTCCCAATCTGTACTCCACCACCTCCTTCTCGTCCTCCTCCTCCTCTTCGACCTCATCCTCATCCTCCTCCTCCTGAAACTCCTCCTCCGCCTCCTCGTCGCTGCTGGCCTCGAGGTGATCCCACTTGCTGTAGTCGATGCGAGTGCTGGTAGGAGCAGCAGGCGGCGCAGCAGGAAGAGCAGCAGGTGCAGCAGCAGACGCAGGAAGGGCAGCAGGAGGAGTCACCACCGTTGCTGCAGCTGAAGCAGCAGGCGCAGCAGCAGGCGCGGCATTCGTCCCGTGATTACCTCCCACCTCGCCCTTATTTTCACTACCTTCATGCACGGCTTTCACGGGAAGCACCTTGATGGTTGAACCGGATTTGAGCTTCGCGTGTTCTACAGTGGAGTCAGGTGAGAGGTACACCACTTGCCCGAGGACCATGAAACGGACCTGCTGCGACGGCTGCGACGGCTGCGACTGCTGCGACAGCTGCGACGCCTGCGACTGCTGTGTCCCAGCAGCCAAGTCCTTTCCGACCGCGTCCCCGCCATTCTCCGGTCCCTGTTGCTCACGTGTCTGACATTGCAGGTAGCAATGTGGCAAATGTGATTGGAAAAATCTGGTGAAGACGGCTCGGAGGGACTCCTTTGGAGAGACGGCCACGTGGACGTCCACGTGGGATGATCCCGTTGGTTTAATTTCGCGATTCTTTTCGTTGGGTTGTGAATCGCTGCTACTGTAATCGGATATGCGTTGAACGAGATCACTCGGAATCCTAAACCGAACATCGAAACCCATTGTGGCCGCAGCTCCAGGCATTGCGAACGTGCTAGTCAGCCTTCCTGTTTTGGCCGTCGCTAGGTGAAAAACGTATCAGGGTCCATAAATAGCTCCATACTCGCTACTAATCCTGCTAACGAATGTCGTCTGCAGGGCATCTACCACTTGACAACGAACCTTCGTGCTCCCTGCTTAATTAGAAGGTTCTCATATTCTGGAATAGCCACGGCCGTCGATATGACGGATCACGCGATGGAATTCGGAAAGAATCTACCCAGTTCACACTCTGCCCGCGGTTTCTGCTAATCCCCGCTTTGCCTTCAGATTCAGAAAGAACCGAACTCGTATTAGCGAGGCCCGTTTTCCTATAAGAAGAGCGGATTACTACCTAAACTGCTGTCACTTATCTGTTGCACGTTGTCAAGTCACCCGCTATACCACCGAAGATTGGTTCCCTGCTGCAATGCAAGCACAAACACGGTCCGCTGGTAACAACAACCAACAGAATCCTTCGCGAATGTTGCTGCAAGTAACACGGGTACAGAGTTCGCGTACGCAACTGAGGTCGCGATGTCGCCTGGCCTCGTCATCCACACTTGGTAATTTTCGTTACGACCGCTTGGCATATCTTGTGCAATTTTGCAGGCCAATTCGCTTTCCCTTGCTTTGGCGATGTCATCACGGAAAAGGTATCGCTTGTTACAAGCAGTCCAATCGGCGAACTGAACAATTTCCATGATATCGTCTCATCGTCAACCTTTTCTTCGCTTCCTCCACCTACCACACCTCCTCGCGCCAAATAGATCTTGTTCATAGCTTGAAATAGCGCAGATTGTTGTTCTCGGGTTTCAGAGCTTGACCTGCGACATACCCGCTCTCGGGAGCGCACTACCGTGCGATCACACAATGGACGGCTCTAATGCCACCGCCGCTGCAGGTAACGGCACTGCTATTAGCAAGATTAGCGCTTCGCCAGCAACGTCAGCAGCGTCAGCGAAAAAAACCGCGCCGAAGCGCTACGTGCGCTCACAGATCCCGAGGGAGATCTTGGAAGATCCCGCGCTGCTCGCCGCCATGTCAGTTCTGCCGCCAAACTACAACCTCGAGGTTCCCAAAACCGTCTGGCGCGTGCGACAAGCGAAGGCGCGCTGCGTGGCGCTGCAGCTCCCCGAGGGCCTCCAGATGTTCGCGACGACCCTGTGTGACATTATCGAGCGGTTCGGTGGCGCGGAGGGCTGCGTGATTCTAGGAGATGTGACTTACGGCGCGTGCTGCATCGACGACGTTACCGCGGCAGCTCTTGGCGCGGATTTTCTGGTGCATTACGGGCACAGCTGCCTGGTACCGTTGGATCATACGGCCATTCCTTGTCTCTACGTGTTCGTCGATATCACCATCGACGTGCCGCATTTCATAGACACGTTGAAGCTCAATTTCCCGCCAACTGACCATCTAGTACTCGCTGGTGAGTTTTCCTTTCTTTCTTTCTTTCCTTCTCCTGCCGTGTGTTTTGGTAACAGAAGAAATTTCTATGTAGACAGACCGAGGGAGAGGCAGGCGAATTCGCGTGTCTAAGGACACAAACCTTCTAAACCCGAAATCTCTGGGTCATGACCATTCCACAGGTGAAAGATTCAACCTTCAGTCCGCCCCCACTCACCTCTTCCCCCATTTCCCCCCTCCCAGGCACCATCCAGTTCACAGCAGCAGTGCATGCAGCCAACTCTGCCCTCTCAAGCCACTACAGAGGGATCACGGTGCCTCAGGCCAAGCCGTCCTGTATCTCCTCCCCCACCTTTTCTCGCTCCCTCTTCCCCCACATTTTGTCCCTCCCACATTCCCTATTTTCCAGGCACCATTCAGTTCGCAGCAGCGGTGCATGCGGCCAACTCAGCCCTGTCAAGCCACTTCAGAGGCATCACGGTGCCTCAGGCCAAGCCCCTGTCCGGAGGCGAGGTGCTTGGGTGCACCGCTCCCTCCCTCTCCTTCCAGCCAGTTTATACCCTCTTCTCCTTACCGCCTCCCCTTCCCTCCCTCGAATCCCCACTCCCCCTCACCCTCCCCCTTCCTCCTCCCCTCTTCCCCATCCCCCTCCCAGGAACTATTCAGTTCACAGCAGCATTGCATGCAGCGAAATCAGCCCTCTCAGGTCACTTCAGGGCCATCTCAGTGCCTCAGGCCAAGCCCCTATCCGGGGGCGAGGTTCTTGGGTGCACCGCTCCCTCCCTCTCTCCTTCGTTTGAGGGAGCAGCAACAACGGGCGCAGCAGCAAGAGGAGCAGGGGTAGCAACAGGAGCAGGAGGAGGAGCAGCAGCAGGAGCAGGAGGAGCAGGAGGAGAAGGAGGAGCAGGAGGAGGAGCAGCAGCAGCAGGGGCATCTGGATCAGACGGTCCAGATGCACTCGTGTTTGTCTCGGACGGCCGATTTCACCTTGAAGCAATGATGATCGCAAACCCCACCCTCCCAGCGTTCCGATACGACCCTTACGCCCGCTCCCTCACTCGGGAACGTTATGATCATTCAGGCATGCGATCTGCTCGGCGGCTGGCGGTAACCCGGGCGAGCAGGGTGCGGGGGGGGCGGTGGGGTGTTGTGCAGGGTACACTCGGGCACCAGGGTAACCCACGCACTGTAGACCACTGCGTGAGTAGGATCCGTGCTGCGGGTGGCACGCCGGTGGTGTTTCTTGTCTCGGAGCTGACTCCGGAAAAGGTGGCGGCTGCGGGGGTGGGGTCTGGCGGGATGTCTGGGGCGAGTGAAACAGAAGCTGTTGGTGACGTGGCAGGAGCCGGTGCTGACGTGGCATCATCAGTTGGCGACATGGGCAGGGCCCTCAGTGAGCTGTCATTAGGAGGAGGAGGCATGAAGCAGGACAGCATAACATGCACAGAGAAGGAGAGCGTGAGAGAGACAAGTGGGAGAGGGACAGGTGGGATAGGGAGTGGGAGAGAAACGGGCATAGATGCATGGGTGCAGGTGGCATGTCCGAGACTATCCATAGACTGGGGGGAGGCCTTTGCTGCCCCCATGCTCACTCCCTACGAGCTAGAGGTTGCACTGGGGTTCGCTCCCCCCTGGTGGGGCGGCTGCTTCTGTGACTGTGTCTCGAATGCTCAAGGGGATACTATCGAAGGTGATTGTACTGAGCGTGGTTTTGGGAGTGGCGGAGCAGGAGGTGGAAGTGGGTTGCAAGAGGAAAAGTTGGACCGGTGCAAGCAGTGTGGAGCTTGTAAAGGGGATAAAAAGGAGAGGGTGTATCCCATGGATCACTATGCCAGGGATGGCGGCCCTTGGAATGCTTCTTACATGCCTAGAAGAGCTGCGAAGTGATTTATTGTTAAATTCTTGATAACGGCTTACGGTATAGTTAAGTATTTTGTTAGTTAATAATGCACATATTAGCTGTATTGTTAGATATGTCGGAGTGTTTTGGAGGTAGCCATAAAATTGCTAGATTGCACACTTGGACTAAAAACACCCGCTGAGCCGTAATTGTCGCGTACCGAAGCCGGTATTGCTGCGTATACGTTCTCCGTATTGCCGTGTGCTACTGCCACTGTTCCTGTGCACCAGCAAGCAGCAATGGCTCACCCTATCTCTGCACTGCATGAATTGCTCGTTATTCGTCACGACTTTGGCTGCATTCATCAGTCCCGGCCGCACCGACCGTTCATCGACTGTGCGAACGAGCTTGGGGAGATTGGTCCGCGCTCTGCGCTGCGGAACTCGTTCAGCCTCAAGAATTCAGCCGGCGTAGAGTGGTTTCGCATTTAGTTGGATAAACGATTAGGGCAGAATCTCTGGAGCAATGCAGCTTCAGAGTTGCTGAGACCCTCAAGCCGTGTTTCAAGAATCGAGTGTATACCAGCTGGCATACCCTTTCTCTTGTGCGGTGCCGGTGGTGCTGGGTAATACCTTTTTCGCGTCGCTCTTTTCGTCCATTACGTGTGTCCTTTGTCGGTGGCAGATTTTCGATTCTAAGCGCATTAGCGTTATTGCGAGGGTGTTACTGACTATAAACGGGGTGGAATTTCGGCGTATAGCGCGAATCACCACGCAATTTGCCACACGCCTTCAACGCGACATTTTTCTTTCGCGGTTTCTCAGACCCTAAGCATTGCGCCGAGAACGAGTCGCGAGTATGCCGAAGCGCACGACGCGGACGTACTCTAGCGAAGATGCGGAGCCGCAGGGAGATACGCAGGAGCTGATCGTGTACTACTGCAAGCAATGCGGCGCGCATGTGCTTATAACAGGCAGGTGTTTATGACGGGTATTTTCTTTCAACGGAGCTGATCGTGTACTACTGCAAGCAGTGCGGCGCGCATGTTCTTATAACAGGCAGGTGTTATAGTGGCTGTGTTCCTGTAAGGGGTAAGTTCTTATTACGGAGAAGCTGTTTATATTGAAGGAGCCGCAGTGAGATTTGAGGCGCCTCAAAACGCGTGTACTCTTGTAAACAGGGTGACATGCACATGCATATACGGGTTTGGACAGGGCATGGCATGGCAGGCAGACAGGTAGCTATTGGAGCTTTTGAGGCGCCTCAAAACGCGTGTACTGCTGCAAACAGGGTGGCTTGCATATGCATACACGGGTTTAGGCATGGCGTGGCAGGCAGACAGTCAGCTGTCAGGGAGCGACTTTGGGTTCGACCTTAGAGTCGACTTTTTGAGCCGACTAAAAAGGTCGACTTTTTGAGCCGACTAAAAAATGCTGTGCGCATGCATGTGTGGGTGTGGGCATGGCATGGCAGGCAGACATTCAGCTGGCAGAGCTGCCGCGGCGCAAGACGGATGGGGCGATGGTGATGGAGCGAGCGAAACACGTCATGCGCCTCAACGTCATGGAGACCGGCAAACAGCTGCTCAAGCGGTGAGTGGTGGTAGAGTACGGTTGAATGTGGTTGATTGCGGTTGAGTGAGGTGGGGAGTGGTGCCAGGCAGACAGTCGCGGCGCAAGACGGATGGGGCGATGGTGATGGAGCGAGCGAAACACGTCATGCGCCTCAACGTCATGGAGACCGGCAAACAGCTGCTCAACGGTGAGCGATGGTAGTGTGCTGTTGAGTGCGGTTGAGAGTGGTAGAGTGTGGTTGAGTGTGATGTCTCTTGATGCGCCTATGTCATGGGGACCGTCAAACAGCTGCTCAAAAGCCAATCTCGCCATCTTTAATTGCCCCCCTCTTACAGGGGCGAGGGCAAGGTGGAGAGGCAGTACCGTATGGGGTGTGGCGAGTGTGGAGTGATGGTGGCGTATCGGAGCGAGGAGCGCATGGAAGGCCGTTTTGGTTCGACTCAAAAAGAGAGTGTGGAGGGGACATGCTTGCTTCTACCCATCTTCTCCTCCTCCCTTGTTCTCTCCTCGTTTTTCCTTCCTGTACAGAGGAGAAGGCAAGGTGGAGAGGCAGTACCGTATGGGGTGTGGCGAGTGTGGGGTGATGGTGGCGTATAGGAGCGAGGAGAGCATGGAGGGCGCCAAATTCGTCTACATTCCTGCTGACGCCCTCACTGACGCTACTGCCGACACCAAGCCCAAGGTATTTACACTTGACTCACTTGCTGATTCATGTGTATACACACGCACCTGTGAACTACACACACACGGCAGCGAGGAGAGCATGGAGGGCGCCAAGTTTATCTACATTCCTGCTGATGCCCTCACTGACGCCACTGCCGACACCAAGCCGAAGGTACTGGATATAGCACACCAAGCCAAAGGTACTCGTTTTTACTCTATCTCTTACTCACACGCACAGCAGCAGCAACGTGTTTTTATAGGGGCGAGGGGCACAGACAGCAGTGAGGAGAGCATGGAGGGCGCCAAGTTTATCTACATTCCTGCTAATGCTCTCACTGACGCCACTGCCGACACCAAGCCCAAGGTACTCACTCTCTCTCACACAGGAGTGAGTGAGGCACCTGTGAACTGCACACGCACAGCAGCGAGGAGAGCATGGAGGGCGCCAAATTTGTCTACATTCCTGCCGACGCGCTCACTGACGCCACTGCCGACACCAAGCCTAAGGTGCTCACACTTTACTCACTTGCTTACTCATGTCATGTAAACACACGCACCTGTGAACTGCACACGCACAGCAGCGAGGAGAGCATGGAGGGCGCCAAATTCGTCTACATTCCTGCTGACGCGCTCACTGATGCCACTGCCGACACCAAGCCTAAGGTGCTCACACTTAACTCACTTGCTTACTCATGTCATGTAAACACACGCACCTGTGAACTACACACGCACAGCAGCGAGGAGAGCATGGAGGGCGCCAAATTCGTCTACATTCCTGCTGACGCGCTCACTGACGCCACTGCCGACACCAAGCCTAAGGTGCTCACACTTAACTCACTTGCTTACTCATGTCATGTAAACACACGCACCTGTGAACTGCACACGCACAGCAGCGAGGAGAGCATGGAGGGCGCCAAATTCGTCTACATTCCTGCTGACGCGCTCACTGATGCCACTGCCGACACCAAGCCTAAGGTGCTCACACTTAACTCACTTGCTTACTCATGTCATGTAAACACACGCACCTGTGAACTACACACGCACAGCAGCGAGGAGAGCATGGAGGGCGCCAAATTCGTCTACATTCCTGCTGACGCGCTCACTGACGCCACTGCCGACACCAAGCCTAAGGTGCTCACACTTAACTCACTTGCTTACTCATGTCATGTAAACACACGCACCTGTGAACTGCACACGCACAGCAGCGAGGAGAGCATGGAGGGCGCCAAATTCGTCTACATTCCTGCTGACGCGCTCACTGATGCCACTGCCGACACCAAGCCTAAGGTGCTCACACTTAACTCACTTGCTTACTCATGTCATGTAAACACACGCACCTGTGAACTACACACGCACAGCAGCGAGGAGAGCATGGAGGGCGCCAAATTCGTCTACATTCCTGCTGACGCGCTCACTGACGCCACTGCCGACACCAAGCCTAAGGTGCTCACACTTAACTCACTTGCTTACTCATGTCATGTAAACACACGCACCTGTGAACTGCACACGCACAGCAGCGAGGAGAGCATGGAGGGCGCCAAATTCGTCTACATTCCTGCTGACGCGCTCACTGATGCCACTGCCGACACCAAGCCTAAGGTGCTCACACTTAACTCACTTGCTTACTCATGTCATGTAAACACACGCACCTGTGAACTACACACGCACAGCAGCGAGGAGGGCATGGAGGGCGCCAAATTCGTCTACATTCCTGCTGACGCGCTCACTGATGCCACTGCCGACACCAAGCCTAAGGTGCTCACACTTAACTCACTTGCTTACTCATGTCATGTAAACACACGCACCTGTGAACTACACACGCACAGCAGCGAGGAGAGCATGGAGGGCGCCAAATTCGTCTACATTCCTGCTGACGCGCTCACTGACGCCACTGCCGACACCAAGCCTAAGGTGCTCACACTTAACTCACTTGCTTACTCATGTCATGTAAACACACGCACCTGTGAACTGCACACGCACAGCAGCGAGGAGAGCATGGAGGGCGCCAAATTCGTCTACATTCCTGCTGACGCGCTCACTGACGCCACTGCCGACACCAAGCCTAAGGTACTTGCATAACGTAACAGCCAGGCACACGCAGAGCAGCCAGGCACACGCAGAGCAGCCAGGCACACGCAGAGCAGCCAGGCACACGCAGAGCAGCCAGCGCACGCAGAGCAGCCAGGCAGGTACACGCAGAGGGCAGCCAGGAGAGCATGGAGGGCGCCAAGGTTTTTAGCCTTCCTGCTGACACCCACACAGTTTGGTTCAGGTGGCAGTTAGGGTGAACCCGCATACCCTTCATGGGTGAGAGGAGGGTAAAGAATCACGATTCATGTCGGGAGTAGCAGCAAGCCTAGGGAAAACATGTCGGGTATGGCGCAATGTGCTTAGTTTTGAGTCGAGTTTTGAGTCGACTCAGTTTTGAGTGGAGTTTTGAGTCGACTCAGTTTTGAGTGGAGTTTTGAGTCGACTCAGTTTTGAGTCGAGTTTTGAGTCGACTCAGTTTTGAGTCGAGTTTTGAGTCGACTCAGTTTTGAGTCGAGTTTTGAGTCGACTCAAAACAAGGTGGCAGTTGGGGTGAACCCGCATACCCTTCATGGGTGAGAGGAGGGTATGGCGCAACGTTCTTCCCATGCTTCCTCTGAACGGCTGTTTTCAGTTCTCTCTTCTGATCCACTCTGTTTCTGTGTGCCTCCCCCCAGGATGCACCCATGCCCCCCTGCATGCATGCAGGAGCTGCACAGTGGGCTGGTGCAGGTGGCAGTATAGGGGGAGGATAGAGCTCAACGTGTTCTTGTAACCCTTCCTCCCACCGCTGTGTGCTGTGCTGCTCTGTTCCTGTGTGCCTTACAGGATGCGCCAGTGCCCCCCTGCATGCATCCAGGAGCTGGACAGTGGTCTGGTGCAGGTGGCAGTGGAGGTGCAGGATAGAGCACACATTTTGTCCATCTCTCCTCACCACCAGTGTGTTGTGTCTGTTGTCTTCTGGCCTCTTCTGTGTTGCGTGCCTCCCAGGATGCACCAGTGCCGCCCTGCATCCAGGAGCTGGACAGCGGGTTGGTGCAGGTGGCAATAGAGGTGGAAGGAGGATAGAACTGAGCTCGTCTTCATGTCTCCTTCCTTTCAACCTGATTTCTTTGCTCTATGCTCTCTTGTTCTGTGCTGGGTACTCACAGGATGCACCAGTGCCGCCCTGCATCCAGGAGCTGGACAGCGGGTTGGTGCAGGTGGCAATAGAGGTGGAGGATAGGGCTCAACGCTCTGCTGTGCTTCGTACGTCACATTCTCGCTCTCATTCTGTCACTCTCTCACTCTGTCAATCTCTCAGACTGCCATTCTCTCACACTGTCACGCTTTCGCTCTCCTACTCTCACAATTTTATCGCTCACTGAGTCACGCTCTTGCTCTGTCAATTTGTCACCTCTTTAACTTCGTTACTGTGTCAATTTTCGGGGGAAAAAAAAAAAAAAAAAAAAAGAGTAGGTGTTAAAAGTTTTTTTTTTTTTTTTTTTTTTTTTTTTTTCAAGCTTTAACCGAGTCTGAGTCTTCTTAATACCAGGCTGCTTCTTCCAAGAGTTTCTCAAATATCTTCAATTGTCGATTTTATATGTCTCAAATCTGCCAATCTGATTATACAACTTCACCTTTGCATATATCGGATTTATTGTGTCCTCTTCCTTCGCACCAGGCATCAACGCGGACGATGTGCCACGTCTTAATAAACTCTTGGCAGTGACAGCAGCTGCGCACAGGGGCACTTCTTACGACGTCTCAAACCCAACCCCAAACCCCCTGTCACCACCCCTTGCCCCATCCTTACCAGGCATCAATGCAGACGATGTGCGAGTGGCAGTGACAGCAGCTGCGCATAGGGGCAATGAGGCCAGTGCAGAGCTCATGGAGTTTCTCGCCAAGGTGAGATGGTAGGGGTGATGGCACTCCCTCTCACCACCTATTCCACTCACCACCATGCCACTCGTCAGCGCCTCGCACAGGGGCAATGAGGCCAGTGCAGAGCTGATGGAGTTTCTCGCCAAGGTGAGAGACGGTGGTGTGATGGCACTCCCTCTCACCACCATGCCACTCTTCAGTGCCTCATACAGGGGCAATGAGGCCAGTGCAGAGCTGATGGAGTTTCTCGCCAAGGTGGGATGGTAGCGTTCATACATATATCATCAGTGCTATGCCATGCCATACATGCCATGCCATGCCACACATGCCACTCCATGCCATGCCACGCCATATATGCCACGCCATACAGGCCACGCCATACATGCCATGCTATGCCATACATGCCATGCCATGTCATACATGCCACGCCATACAGGCCATGCCATACATGCCACGCCATACATGCCATGCTATGCCATACATGCCACGCCATACATGCCATGCTATGCCATACATGCCACGCCATACATGCCATGCTATGCCATACATGCCACGCCATACAACCATGCCATGTCTAGGAACCTCTCAAATCTCGATCGTGTGCATGCAATCGCTATGTGAGCCTCCCTCTCTGTTTAAACTTTCTCCTCCACTGCTGCTCGCTGGATCATGTCTAACAATCTCGATCGTGTGCACGCAATCGCTATGTGAGCCTCCCTCTCCCCGACCCTCCCTCTCCTCCCCATCAGACGCTGGGGCTTCACCTGGTACAGCTGAGACTGCAGCGACGGTGGTCTCGCTCCTCTCTCCCCTTCGTCACCTCGCCAGCTTCCTTACTTCCATCCCTGCCTCATCTCATCCCCCGTTTCCACCCCACCCCCACCCCATCAGACGCTTGGGCTGGGCTTGGTGCAGCTGAGACTGCAGCGACGGTGGTCCCTCTCCTCTCTCCCCCTCGTCACCTCGCCAGTCTCCTTACTTCCATCCCTGCCTCATCTAATCCCCCGTTTCCCCCCACCCCCACCCAATCAGACGTTGGGGCTGCGCCTGGTGCAGCTGAGACTGCAGCGAGGGTGGTCGCACAAGTCCAAGATGCTCATGGTACGTGCAGGGCGGTTACCGCCATGTAACCCTGTATGGGACGTTACGGTTCTGTTCGTACGTGTATGTGTTCGTTGCACTGAGGGTACAGCGAGGATGGTCCCCCAAGTCCAAGATGCTCATGGTAGGCTTTGCAACAGCTGCAGTAACCATGTGTAGTCGTGTATGTGCAAGAGTGGTAATTAGATGTTGTTCGTACGTGGTAATTAGATGTTGTTCGTACGTGGTAATTAGATGTTGCTCGTACATGGTAATTAGATGTTGCTCGTACGTGGTAATTAGATGTTGCTCGTACGTGGTAATTAGATGTTGCTCGTACGTGGTAATTAGATGATGTTCGTACGTGTAAGCGCTTGCTCTCAGTGCATGGGAGCTGCAGCAAGGGTAATCCTCCAAGTCCAAGATGCTCATGGTAGGCCTTGCAGCAGCAGCTGTAGCACCTGTAACCATGTATGTGCAAGAGTGGTGACCCGATGTTAAGCATGAGTGTATGGGCACTGCAGCAAGGGTGGTCCTTCAAGTCCAAGATGCTCATGGTACGTGCAGCAGCTGTAGCAACTGTGGCTGCAGCACCTGTAGCAGCTGTAACCATGTTCGTATGCGCACGTGTCGTCATTATACTGGCACTGCAACAAGGATGGTCCTCCAAGTCCAAGATCCTCATGGTGTGTGAGAGCGCAGCTGCAGCTGTTGTAGCTGTGTGTGTTAAGTCTTTTTGTGCACATGTTTCCAGTATACTGCACATCCACATAAGTTAGTGCACGAGTCCACGATTCAGTGGTAAGCGTGTAAATTTACCTTATTATTAACTTTTTTATCTTGTCTTATTTTTTTTTTGCTTATGGAAAGAACTTAGGTTAGTCTATTTGCTCATGGCACTAAGCATGCGCACTTTGATGTGCATACTCTAATCTTGATAAAAGCATGTGCATCTGAACATGCACATACGTGTGCCGAGCTTTCACATTCAGCAATATTCCCCCAAGCACATGCGTACAAGCACATGTGTGTTCATCCTCGCATGTCTGCACGCGCATCTGCAATTCATGCTGTTCACAAGCTGTTCCCATGCTGTTTGCATGCTGCAACCTTGCTCTACTCATGCTACACCCATACTATGACCTTCTCACCCCCACCCTTCTCCTGTAGACCTTAAGCAGGTAGCACACCCGGCAATAGCCCATCCTGATAAGTTTATTTCAGCAAATATTGGCGTTTCTTGCTTAGCTCTCCCGATTGTCTCTCCATGATTATTTTTCTGTATGCTGCCAGGTGGAAGACCTAACAGCTCGGCAGGTGTATGAGAAGCTATTAGCTGCTGCGCAACAATGAACTGCACGTGCGTCCTGTAATTCCATACTAATCAGGATCATGCCAAAATGTGTTCAGCCATATCTGATCAGGACGTGCTCAAATTGCTACGCTGTTGAATGCCAGTGAGAGTTTTGCTAATTGGTTCTGATCAGCTAATTCGTTGTCGAGTTGCTCCAAGTCGGGTCAGGTCCCCGTCATAAGCTCCCTGATCCTGTATCCGTCCGATGAGTCGTCGTCAGTCCTTCGGGCCATCCTGCTCGTCCATGTCCGAATTCTGTCAGAAGACTGCCATTTTTCCCGCCAAATCCAAGCCCCCATGCCCCCCGTATTGAAGCAACCTCGTCCACTCACATATCTTTCTGCAAGTCGCATCCGCCAATCGTTTCAACCTGGGCTGCTGCTTTTCCGCCGATGGGCCAATCGCGCATCCGCCAACCTTTCCGCCAGCATTTTTCTGCGTTTCACCAGCTTGATTCCCCCGCCAGCTGCCTTCATTCAGTCGGTACTCCCGAGGTACATTGCACTCGGGAAATGATCATATTGGGGCCCCAGAGCTCTAGAAAAGTCGCCAAATTGGGGCCTCGTGTCTCGCAAGGAGTCGAACCTGGGCCGGACCTGTGCCCAACCAATTTCTAGCCTCATCCACGCGCTCCGTCAGACCTGACCACACAAGGTGACAAATTCCTCCTTGAACGACATCGAAAAAATTGACTCGACATCTGAAAATTGACGAATTTTCCTCTCGTGCGTCATGCCTTCGAAGGGGCCTCAGCCCTAAACATCTTGCCACACGGTATTTAGGGTTGATGCTTCCCCAACTATATGTCATCCGAATTGGGGTTTATTCTTTGTGCCATTGCGATGTTGTTTTTTTGGGTTAAAATGATTGTTTTTCTGAGTAAATTACGATGACGAGTCACTAGTGAATTCCATCAACCCCAGGCCAGTAGATGGTGACCTGGCGAGAAGGCCAGGCTCGGCCTAGCTGCCCATGTGTTTTGGTTGCTTCGGGGGTACGTAGTAGGGGCGCGACTCACGAGGCCCCAATTTTGCCACTTTACTGCTACTCCGGGGCCCCTTTTTGATCGTTTCCCACACTCCAATAGAACTCTCCTTCGAAATTCTCGACAGATATGTGAGTGGATGAGGCTGCTTCAATACGGGGGGTGTGGGGGCTTGAATTTGGCGGTCCAATCGAACCGTCGAGAGTTTCCTTCCGTCCGCTCCAACAGAACTCCCCTTCGAAATTCTCTCAACCTTTCTCAATACGTTTCCCGCCTCTCTGGATTCCTCCCAGCCCCTCGGATTCCTCTAAGCCCTCCCAACTCCTTCGAACCCCTCTTAGTTCCTCCCCATCGAAGTTATGAAGTGAATGATCTGTGCCCAGTGATCTGGGAATTCATGTGGTGTTGTTTGTCGAGTTAATTTCCCTGGTTTTGCTGGACTCCTTATTTTAGTTAGTTGTCACGCGCCTTGGTTTCTTACTTAGTGGTAGCTGAGTCAGACCACTAGATCAGGGGACGCTAGTTTGTGAACCGGGAGGTTTGGGTTCTATTAGGGCCGACCTTGGTCCCTTGGGGATCTGACATCCCAGTTTTTTCCGCAGAACGTGACTCAATGGATCTACGGGGTTTACGAGCAGCCATTTTCGTAGCAGCCGTTGTCTCGTTAGTAACTTCAGTCTCGGCAAGCGCTGGCGATACGGACCCGACATTCCAGTAAGTAGAACATTGGTGTTGTGCCAAACACACAAAAATAAGCTAAACGGAACAAAATAGAAATGAAACACAACAAACAAAAAAACGGACGATCGAATTAGATTTGAAATGCGTCAGTGGGGGTGCCTGTTGTTCGTGGCAGCTTTAAACCAAGCTACTACGCCTCAATAGAAGCGGATCTGATCATCCGTGTCCGTCGCGACAAGTCAGATGCGTTGATTGAAGTAGGTCTGCTCCTTCACATTCCCCGTCTTCTTCAGCCTGCCTCTCTTTCCCCCCTTTTTCCCCTAGAAGTTGTAGGCCCTCTGATACTTTCATACTCGATTGCTTGATTATATAATGCCAGGTTAAGATTTATTATCCATGGAGCGCCCCGAGTATCATATTAAGCGGCATTATCCTATTTAGCAACGGGCCATTAAGTTTTTTCAGTACCCCACAGGTCGTCCTGCACCGTACAGTAACCTGTGTTGTCACAGCTTACTGCATTCTAGATCGTCGCATCGTACCGCGTTTTAAGTCGTCGCGCAGTACCGCGTTATACCACATCCCAAGTCGTCGCATGATACCGCCTTCTAGGTCGTCGCTTGATACCACATCCCAAGTCGTCGCATGATAGCATATCCCAAGTCGTCGCATGATACCACATCCCAAGTCGTCGCATGATACCACATCCCAAGTCGTCGCATGATAGCACATCCCAAGTCGTCGCATGATACCGCACTCTAGGTCGTCGCATGGTGCCGTAATCGAGGTCGCGTGCTATCCATGTATTTCAACCACTATTCATAACTACCAGAAAGAATTCGATATCTCTGACCGTTCCACCCCCTTCCGCAGACAATTCCGCTCTGGGATGTGCCTCTTGTATTTGCCGCTTATCGCCTTTCGAAGCACTTGACGTTCAGGGTTCAGATTCGATCTCTTCACGTTGTGGAAGCGGCACCCCAAGTCTAGACGGTCCTAGTTTTGAGATCTCTCAAGACTCCCAAATCCTCTAACACCACTTGCGCTGCTCCTTTCCTGACCATTTCCCTCCGTGTCTATTTCCCTCCCTTCTTGTCTTTTTTTATCCCAACCTCTCTGTTCCTTGTCATGCCAACACTTCAGGACATGCCTGGCTGACTGCCAGAAAACAGGATGCGTGGGCGACCACTGTATTCCGGGCTGCCCGCCTGCAGCTGATTCTGACGGAATGGTGACGGCTCCGTTAGAGCTCCGTCTCCTTCGATGGGACTGCGAGAGCGAGTGCAAGTACCAGTGCATGCGCGATATCCAAATGCCCGGGGTGCCTCAAGTGCAATACTACGGCAAATGGCCCTTCATCCGCGTTTTTGGCTTCCAGGTGAGACCCGTTTAAAGGCATGTTTTATAACGGGGTATGACTGCGAGAGCGAGTGCAAGTACCAGTGCATGCGCGTATTCAGATGCCTGGGGTGCCGAAAGTGCAGTATTAAGGCAAATGGCCTTTTATCCGCGTTTGGGGTTCCAGGTGAGACTCGTTTGAAGGCATGTCTTATAACGAGGTGGAACTGCGTGAGCGAGTGCAAGTACCAGCGCATGCGCGATAATCAGATGCCTGTGGTGCCTCAAATCCATTTTTACGGGAATGGCCCTTCATCCGCGCTTTTGGCTTCCAAACGAGTCTCAATATTAACACGGTTTTTTTATTTGTACCAGCATGCCTCATAGCCCACCATGCCCCATAGCTCACCATGCCTCATAGTTTTGCTCCATAGTCTCACTCCCTCACTCCCTCCCTCACTCCCTCACTCCTCCCTCACTCCCTCCCTCCCTCCCTCCCTCCCTCCCTCCCTCCCTCCCTCCCTCCCTCCCTCCCTCCCTCCCTCCCTCCCTCCCTCCCTCCCTCCCTCCCTCCCGCCATCCCTCCCTCCCTCCCTCCCTTCTTCCTTCCCTCCCTCCCTCCCTCCCTCCCTCCCTCCCTCCCTCCCTCCCTCCCTCCCTCCCTCCCTCCCTCCCTCCCTCCCTCCCTCCCTCCCTCCCTCCCTCCCTCCTTCCTTCCTTCCTTCCTTCCTTCCCTCCCTCCCTCCCTCCCTCCTTCCCTCCTTCCCCTTTTTCCAGGAAATTGCGTCCTCTGCATTTTCCATCCTCAACTTCCTAGCCACGCTCTACGGCCTCTACTCCTTCCTGCGCCTCGTGTATGTGAAGCTGCCGCGCAAGCCCATGGGCAACAAGGGCCCGCTCTACGAGTACTCCACGCTCATGGCCATCTATGGCCTCTTCGCCCTCAACTCCTGGCTCTGGAGCGCCATTTTCCATGCCCGGTACGTGCGCAGGTGCTATCCGGTGCGTGTGTTGTTTGATGCAGGTGCCTTTAGCACTTGGTAGTTGCCAGGATTTCAAAATCCCACGTTCAAGATTGAAAGTAGCAGGGTGAAGGAGTCAATGGTCAAGCGTCATGCAAGGTTATGCGTGCAACGATACCGAACGATTGTCATTTTCTCCTGCGCTGACAATCTTGTCATTCCATACTGTATTGGACTCGCTTGTGCGGTGAACACCACACTGTTTCACTTGCTCATTGAGACGATGTCGCTCTTCATTGTCGCTTCGTGGCATCGATAGAACCTTCTTACATGACATGCTTCGAGCGTAGATCGTTCAGCAGCGTCAACCGATAGTGAAAGTTAGTTACCAACTATGAGATTGATGGCTGAAGTGGCAAGTTGAGGAGACACTATCCCAGGCATGTCTCCGCGGCTTGCCGCTGCTGCTATCGATCACATAGTTGGCTTTCGCCATCGCTTGACGCTGATGCGTGAAGCCTCCGCCTGAAGCATGTAATGTAAGGGAGTTTTTTCGATACGAAGAGTCAAGGAAAAGCGACAATGTCTAAGTGGGTGAAGCAGGGTGATTTTGGCCACACAAGTGGGTTCAACGCAGCATGAAATGGCAAGCTTGTCGGTGCAGGAGAAAATGGTGAACATTCAGAGTCGTTACACACATGACCTTGCACGACGCTCAACCGCTGACTCCTTTCCCCGGTCATTTTCGATTTTCACATTGGCCATTGCTCTCATCGGCATGTTGTTTCCAATTTTCTCACAATATTCCTCTCCATCGACCCCTGTCCTCACCCTCTTCCCCTCTCCTCCTTGCAGGGACGTCTGGGAGACACAGTCAGGGGATTACACATCGGCCATTGCTCTCATCGGCATATCGCTGCTCGTCTGCATCATCCGCATCAGCAGCCTGAGGGAGGAGGCCACACGCGTCATGGTGGCAGCGCCGGTGATCGCTTTCACCACCACTCACATATTCTACATGAACTTCTATACTTTCGACTTTGGTGAGTGAGAGGTATGATTACAACGAGGATGACCGGGTACTGGTGTGACTGTAGCGAATGTGGTGGCAGCGCCGGTGATCGCCTTCACCACCACTCACATATTCTACATCAACTTCTACACCTTTGACTTTGGTGAGTGTGACTGTAACGAGGATGACAGTACTGGATGTGATTGTAGTGAGCAGCTGTGTGCATCATCTCCTTCACCACCACTCTTATATTTTTCATCAATTCTAAAATCTCGACTTTGGTGAGCGGATGTGACTATAGCGAGGATGATCGCACTTGGTGTGACTGTAGAGAGCAGTTGTGGATCATCATCAGCAGCCTGAGGGAGGAGGCCACACGGGATATGGGCAGCGCCTTTCATAGACACCTTTGCCCCTCCCCCTTTACAATCCCTCCTTTTACAATCCTCTCTTTACAATTCCTTTCTCTCGATCGCAGGTGAGAACATCACTGTGTGCACTGCCATGGGAGTCACAGATTCTCCTCTGGACCATCCGGGCCATTGCAAGCCAGCAATTTTCTGCACCTCACCTCTTCTCCACTGCACCGTTCCTCTCACCCCTCCCTATCCCCCCCTCCTGCTTCTTTATGCCACCTATTCACTTTTTTAAATGCAGATTGGAAGATCACTGTGTGCACGCCAATGGGATTCACACAGCTTCTCTTGACCATCTGGGCCATAACCAGCCGGCACCGTTCTACGCCTCACCCCTCCTCTTCTCCACTGCACACCTCCTCTTCCATCCCTTCCCCCCACTGCACTCCCCACTACACTCCCTGGTACTACAGATTGGAACATCGTAGTGTGCACTGCCATGGGGGTCACACCGCTGCTCCTCTGGACCATCTGGGCCATAGCCAGCCGGCACCCCTCCGTGCTTCATCTCTTCTCCACTGCACCTCCCCCCACACCCCCCCACCTCTCCCCAACTCCCCCCTCCTGCCCTCTTCACACTACCCAAGGACTTTGCTTATTGGAGATTGAAACATCGTTGTGTGCACTGCTATGGGGGTCACACAGTTGCTGCTCTAGACCATCTGGGCCATAGCCAGCTCCTTCCACGCCTCACCTCTTTATACCTCACTGCACCCCCCCTATTACAGGTTGGAACATCGTAGTGTGCACTTCTATGGGGGTCACACAGCTGTTGCTCTGGACCATCTGGGCCATAGCCAGCCGACACCTTCCCACGCCAACCGGCCCACACCTTCCCATTACTTCAACCCCCTTCCCCCTCCCGTTCTCCACACTCCCACTACACCCCCTGCTACTACAGATTGGAACATGGTAGTGTGCACTGCCATGGGGGTGACACAGCTGCTGCTCTGGACCATCTGGGCCATAGCCAGCCGGCACCCCTCCGCCTGGAAGGTTCTCTTTGTGTCGGGCGGCACGGCCTTTTCCTTACTGCTCGAGCTCTACGATTTCCCTCCGATTTTGGGCCTGTTTGACGCGCACTCACTGTGGCATGCGGCAACAGTGCCGTTTACGCTGGTGTGGTGGAGTTTTCTGTGTGACGATGCGAGGTACCGCACGGAGATCCTGCTCGCAATGAAGAGGGCAGGGGGGGAATCGAAGAAGGTGAGATAGGGGAATATTTTGACTGCATACGGTATTTGCGACAGGCTGCTTGCAAAGGAAGTGTTACCAAACTGCAATACTTAGTTATAAGCCGCAAATGCACATGTTTGAACCTGCCTACCTAAATTGATATTCTGTATGTGATGCTGCTCACTTAGTGATTTTGCAAGACAGGAGGTATAAGGTGCAATAGCAGGCCTGGCTTCAAGGCGTACACTAGTTACTTCCAACAGGCAGTAAATTGCAAAGCATATATTGTATAGTTCCGGCTATAAGACCCCGGGGACTCTCTACAAATGCTGGAAAATGAGCTTGGGTGGACATTATGGCGGCAGCAATTTTTGAAGATCTGGGGTAACTTATTTAACAGTTGTCTATCTGATATTTAGAGGTGCACTACTCAGTTTGGGGCGGGGGGGTCTTATATTCGTAACGAATTCGCGCAAATTTCGCGCGTGCAGCGCGTCAAAACTGTGTCAGAATTCGAGTCTGACACAAAAAGCTGTCAGAACTCGAATTTATGCCAGTAAAAGCTGACGCACAATAGCAATTATATCTACTGTATACAGAAAAGGGGGGGCTTATGATGATTAGCGGCTTAAGGGGGGTCCTCACAAGACCTGCCACAATAAGAGTCCCCCTACCCATTCAAGAGTCCCGGGGGACCTTCTTACCGGCGGGTCTTATAGCCGGAACTATACCTCAATGCTTAAAAGCCAACACAGATGCTATATTGACTTCTACCTACCATAGTAGTTGTATACTAGTATTTCTAATCTTACAAGGCACCTACCTACAGTATACACTGCCACTGCATACTATCCTAAGGAAATGACCTGATATGCGTAATAGCAAAAGACATAAACGATCGACCAGGAATTTCAAACCGCAAAGGCCTAGTTCCTCTACCATGGTGAATCTCCTCAAAGTCCTCAGAAAAAGATGTTCTCCAAGAACGCACCTTTGTTTTCCCACCAACATTCCTTATAAACCACCAAGGCATGTGAACTTTTACCGCCCTTGGTGCACCCTTTTGATTCACCACGAACACGCTTATCAGTCTCTTCTTCGGTGTGTAGAATGCAGCAATCCCAAAGTGGCAGTTCGGCTTGTTGATAAGCAGCCTCCTGCTTCCTGGAGGAGCAAGGCTTGTGAAATGCTTCAGAATCCAAAACTTTTTAGAAACCAGCGGTGGAGTGTACGCTGTAGACGCATCCGGAGTTTTTGACCAGTCAATGTGGATTAAAGCCCACGACGCGACGGGGTCGATGGCTTGCCAAAAGACCCACCCTGTAGCTTCCAAGATGTTTAACGACGCAATGATCGATCTCCCCATGAACAGTGCAACGTCTGTGTCCTCCCCGCCCCGCTGCATCGGCCCCCATTCCGAAACAAACACCTCCTTTGTTTGCGATTTTGCGATATCCTTCATCACGTGAAAATTCTGCGTCGTGAATTCGACGGGGCTCGTCCCGTTTTGCGCGAGGCTCATGTAACCGTGCACGTTGTAACGAATCAGGAACGGGCTGAGAATGTTCCCGATTTGCCTCGGAGTGGTTTGCACAAAGCTATCGACTCCCGCGTTCTTCGTTTTAAGCTGCTTCCTTGCAAGAGCAGTCTGCACCTTGGGCAAAATGCGTCTCATTTGCTGTATATTAATGTTGCACCCCTCCTGCCCTCCCCCCTGCTTCCACCAACCCTCCAACGCCTCGTTAAACGGCTCCAAAGTATCAAACACCAACCCCTTGCCCCAGCTTCTATCCCTTGCAAACTTCTGCACCACGTCAGTGAGGTATTCCGCGAAAGCTGTTTCATATTCCACCTTTAAATTACCCTGCCCGTATATGGGCGCACCCGCAACATCCCCCGACACCGTCATCCACCAAGGCGGGCTGTTGGCAAAAGCGTCGATCCTGTCCGCCCCCCGCGCCCGGGCAGCAAACAAAACTCTCCTCTGCCTGTCGTCCGCAGACCAATCATAAGCCGCTTCCTCTGTGGCTTTAAAGCCCGGCATGCCCCGCCATTTGACATACCCAGTTAAGAACCTGGGGCTATTGGTAGCATTGTAGCCGCCTCCTATGTTGTAGCGAACTATGTTGAGGTTTAGACCCGAGGGGGAGAATAGGAGGTCCATGAGAGGGTTGAAATGCTCCTCTGGGAAGCCTCCTACGAAGTTTCCTAGCCTGGGAGGGAGGGAAATTGGGATGGAAAGAGGGAGGATGAGGGGAAAAAAGTGGCGGAAATTGTAATTATCTGTTTGAACGGATTATAATGGTGTAGTTTTATGGTGTTACATTGACGGATCGACAACAGCGTTAACTCAGGAGGATTCAGAACTGCGTTACATCAAGGGAGTAGCGGTGTTACATGCTTTTGCCAATACTTTTGCTTCAGTTAGGAGTCTTGATGGTGTTACACTGATGCAGTTGTAACATCGTGTATCAACAGAGTCACGAGGCTGCCACATGATAGAGTTGAATACGAGAGCCGACGAAAGGTTGCACAGAAAGTGTGCCATACCTTCCACCTCACACCTTCACCCCTCCCAACACCCTTTACCCCACCCCCCAGCTTACCAGCAGAGGGACGTGCCCCAGCCCCGCCAGGTGTCCAGCCTGCGTGGCTTCAGAGTCACTGACACGGAGGCTGGGAGTTGGGGGGAGGGTGGGGGGGGGGTTGTGCGGGGGATAAGGAGGGTAGGAGGAAGAGCAGGGGGAGGGGACGGAATACTCGTCTTGTTCCCAGACAAGAGCAGGGGGAGGGGACGGAATACCAGCAGGGGAAAATGCCCCCAGCCCTATGCGAGAAGCAGATCTGATGCGCAAGGACGAAATCGTCGCCTGCGGGGGATAGAATAACAGCGAAGGGACGAGCGAGAGACATGCGCGAGTCGACTTCAGTAGTTAGTATGCGAATGTGAGCGACTGTGAGCGATTGTGAGGGCCAATACGTGGTGATGCGCGAGCTTACCTCAGTAATGCATCGCGGAAAAGGACAGGGCGAAAAACAACTGAAAAGTTACTGTTCCGTTACCTTTCCGTTTCATTTTCCGCGCAAGAAAAAAGTCTTAGTCAGAAACAGTGGTAGCTCAAGTGACTTGCGATGTAGTATGCGACTGTGAGCGACTGCGATGGGCGATACGTGAGGGGGATGCGTGAACGATGATGTGTGCGCGACGACGAGTGAACGACGACGAATGCGCAACGACGAGAGCCGCGACTCGCTAAGCAGTTCAACGACATCGTTCGCGGGAACGGCGAAAGGAATGCAATGAGAACCGACTGTACGATCACATGCGACCTCAGCCGCACGATCGCATGCGACCTCCGCCGCACGAGATCGAGCAAAAAGGGAGTCGGGAAACGAATGTACAACCTCAACATTAAAATAGTTTTAGAAAATGTCGAAG